TATTGAAAACTCATCAAAACATTCAATTGTTATGGATGTCTATCATGCTAGGGACAGGGCTGCTGGTGTAAGTGGGCTCACACATTGTCAGCTGGAGAGTTTGACCCTCAAAGTGACAACACAGCCAACAGCAGCAAAGCCTAATTATGCCCTCATCCAAGATGGCCACGTCTATGTCGCCTGCTTGGAATGTGTCGCTGACGTTATCAACGTGTGGAAGTCAAAGCGCCCACCCTGATGCATGATCTGATTGGGTGTGTGAGTGAGGACACTGCATCACCCTGATCCCCACACGTACCCAGCCTATAATTCTTAGCAGCATCATAGGCCAACGGGCAAAGCAGTGCACTGGGGCCCTGCCTACACAACCACTCACAGGAATAGAAATTAAAATTATTGATAAAATTAAGCTTATATTTATTGATTATTTGTACAGCAGAGATTAATCCACACAAACATTTGGAAAATATAACATGAGCCTTAAAGTTGAAAAGACATTCTACACAAAAATGGTACTCAGTTGGCTAATCATACAGACTGAGATGGCACAGTACGAAGTCACTATGAATTAGTTATTATTAATCAAGTTTTCAACACATAGCTTTACGGCTTCAAAATATGATGTGTGTTAATTTGTCTTGCTTATGTACCATTAGTATGTGTATGTTGTTTTTGTCAAGGTCAAGATATGTAATTTGTCACTGTTAGGACCTGCAGTGGTTATGGTGCTGCGGTCTTATGTTCCTTTTCCCAACAGCTGAGCATAAGGGATTATAGCTGCAGCAGGGAGTAGAGGAATAGGATAGAAGAATGCAGTTCCAAGATGATTCTTCCCAGCAAATAGAATATCCCCCAAACATGAGCCTAGACTTCATGAAGGGTGTAACAGGAATCAATTTTATTGACAACACACAGGCTTTTATGAGAAATCTTCCTGCAAGATGACCTCCCACAGCAAACAAAGACAAGAGCCAATCAACACACAGATTTACAGTAATACACGCCTTCTCTCTGCCTGGGAGATATTGAAATAAGTTAAGGAATAAACCAATTATCTCCAGGCAGAGAGCACACAATTTCCCCAAAACTCAGAACACCCCTTTCCCCACCAGGTATCCCCTGATAGCCCCGATCTGGGAGACCAACATATCCAAATTTCACCCAGATCGGTTCAGGGGTTCTTAAAAGGTATGGAGGGTACCTTTTACCGACCACACACACGGCACCTGCCCAAAACAGTTCCACGAATTCAGCGTGTGCGGTCGGTCAATTCACAAATAGGTAAAAAAAACGAACAAAGTCCCGAATGGATCCTCCTGGCTCATAGGAGCGATTGCTCCCCTTGTCCGTTCGCACATAACTACTGAATGGCGCTTCCCTGGCTGTTCGGGAAGTAAAGGAAGCCGGCATTCGGTAGTTTCAGCGGTGGTTCGGGAGGTCGAGTGTCCGATTTTAGTTCCAGACACTAGACGACCAAGTCCCGCTGACTCCCCTCGTGTGAACAAGATGGCCGCCGCTTTCTATTCCACGTGGCGTTCGGCTGTACGAACAGCGGCCGCACAGGGAGCACTTGATAGCTGATTCCTTCGTAGATAATGAGCCAGGAGGGCTCAATATACAGGTAATAAACAGGGAACGTACCAAACAAAGTCAAAAAAATGTCAAATAAAAGTCTATTTTCTCCACAGTCACAGCAAGATCGCATGTAGATAACAGCTGATACTGAGGTGATTAGTCCACATAAACATTTCAATAAAGAGGGTTTGAAGGTTCTGAATAAAATTCCTGGAATACTATACTGAAATTGATACCGGAGGAATAACAGGAACAAACCGCAGAAGCCACACATAGCGATATGGACACAAGTCTTTAGGAAGTAACAGGTCTTTTATTTACACACCGATCGGGTCTCATACTGAACTTGTGTTCAAAAGGTATGAGCCCAGAGCATAGTTTGAACAGGCTATTAATTAACAATAACTTCTCCCATTCATAGCTCCACTCACATATACCCTTAGACCAATCAGTGAACAGGATATGGGCAGACCGTATGACTAATTTTAAGGACAAAGGAATATGACTACAGTTGATGCACATGCTCAGTACATTGATGACAGTATCTTAGCTACATGTAACTAACTAACAGATACAACAAACACCTGTACTTGTATATGCCACATGGAGATTTCAGGCCTAATAAATTTTGAACCATGTTGATATCCCATTACAAAATGATGGCAAGCCTATGGGGCCCTCGGCAACTGCCCAGTGTGCCCATGCGTTAAGACCTGGTGGCTGACATTGTTAGCAATATATTTCCTATCACTCGAAGGCCAGCAGGTACAAGTGGGGATCACACTGATAGTATTTGGCATCCCTGCAACCCACACTGATCCCAACATGTACCTGCTAGCTGAGAGTTACAGGAGTGAAATTGATAGCAATCTCTGTGGGGATCAGCATAGGTTATAGGGATGCCACATACTATCAGTGTGAACCCCACATGTACCTGCTGGCTAAGAGTTACAGGAGTAAAATTGCTAGCAATCTCTATGGGGATCAGCATACTATCAGCGTGATCCCCACCACATGTACCTTCTTGCTGAGAGTTACAGGAGTAAAATTGTTGCAGTGTAAGCATGCAGAAGCCAAACACAGAAATATTGGACACAGGTCTTCAGGAAGTAACAGGCCTTTATTCACATTACCGATCGGGTCTCAGATGAACTCCTGTTCTAAAAGATCTGAGAGACCAACACATAGTGTACATTCCTTATATAGCACTATAACTCCTCCCATTAATAGCTACACCCACATATACCTTTAACCAATCAATGAGCAGAATATAGACTTGTACATCTAGTCAAACCACATGGCTCATCCAAGACAAAAGGAAATAAGTGCAATTCCAGTTCCTGCATTCCTGCACATGCTCAGTACACTGATGACAGTATCCTAGTTACATGTAGCTAACCAACTGACACAACATACACATATGCCACATGGAGATTTTGACCTACTAAATTTTGACCATGCTGGAATCCCATCACATTCCCCCCTTTGATGCCTCTGATATAACATTATTCCAGATGCATCACCAATCACAGTTTTACCTACATCTCTCAAGTAGCCATTGAACCAGAGTAGACCTTGTAAGCATCTTAAAAACTCCTTCAACATTCTTCATCCTGAATATATTCTCTTCGGGCTAGGGGATCATATCTTCCAGACAGCCATTACATGAGCCGCTGTCTTTCTCTCTATAGTACTCTCTATAATACTACGTAGGGACCTTACCACTAGTGGAATTAGACAGGGCAGGAGGAGGCACAAAAAAAAATATAATAAATTCTACTCCTCCTACTAATGTCTTAATTCCTCCAAGCTGCTCATACCAACTTCCAAACCAACTACTTAGGTTATACCCATTCCAGACCTGAGTAGGTACATGCTCAAATTTAACCATGTGGCTTGTAAGTTCAGCCACTGCCTGCCCTTCATCATCTATGTGCAGACAACAGTTACTTAGATTAAACTTTCCGCATACACCTCCTTCTACTGCTAGTAAGTAATCAAGGGCTAGCCTATTCTGGTATATGGCTGATCACATCTTGGTATGTTGCTTAGCTAGAAGATTAAGCACTTGAGCTGTCTCATTAGTAATAATCTCAACTACCGCCTGTAGTCTAATAATGCGGTTGAGCATATATATCGGAGTTCTATATCCATAAGTGCCATCTTCTGCCCAAGTAGCAGGTCCATAATAATTAATAATACGTTGAGGGGGCCACTCATCTTCCCAACTACCTATATTCAAGGATGCTCTCTCCCTTTTATGATTTACATCGTAAACCTTAACTCCCAAGGTCTCTCCTGTTTCGATTGGCAACAAGAAGAAGGATGGCTTTGGCATACCTAATACACATGCCCCTTCCCAATCTTGTGGTAACTCCGAATAAGTTTTATTACCACAAATCCAGTATAAATTTGCTGGGGCTTTCCAACTAGATGTAGCCGATAAGTCAAACCATACCTCCTTTAAATGAGTGTAATTGGCAAACGGATTAGTAGGTTCCGAGACATTTGAAGCTGACCACCAAGTAGTATTTTTAGTATTAACATTATAGGCTTTTTGTCCCAAGCAAGTTAGCTCACCTACAGACGTGTTATACATTGTCCCTTTCCTGGCTATACAAACATGACCTATAATGGAGGTTTTTAACCACCATTCCAATTTACTTCTAGTACTTACTTGATGATCAGACTGGAAAGGTATCTGTTGTTCATATGTCTCAGAGCCAGGGTACCATATTTCCTTTGCCTCCCATGGCCACTGGTCTCCCATATTAGTACCTCCACACACATAGCAATTAGTTACATTAAGACTACCTGCAATACCCTCAGCCAAATCAATAAATAGGTTGTTAACATTATGGGGAATTTTATCCTCAGTACTCATCTCCTCATAAAAGGAATGAGAAACCTGATGAGTTTGAGTTGCCACTGTCTCAGTTTCAAGACCTACATATATTATTGTTCCTGAATCTACTCCTGTGCCATATATTTGGAACCCAAACAGACCTCCAAACCTGTCAATAAAGTACTGCAGATTGGAAATGGTCATGTGAACGGTGTTACACACATAGTTTTACAGTATGGTGTGGTAGGCAACCTTTGGATAATCATATCTTGATCCACTGTTTTTCCCAGGTTGCCCAACCTACACATGACCAATAGGGGCAGAAGTTAGTCTCTATTTGGGCAATCAGGATCAGTAGATCTTTTACTGGGACATAAGTATTTATCATTAAACCCATAAGTTCGTTCCCATTTAAGATTACCACATACATTCCAAAGTCTTCCACTACCCGAAATCGCCTTACATGCATCAAATAGTAGAATACCCGTGGAATGTATGGTGCTTATCACAGTCCTATTTATTAATGTCCCCTGGGAGTTACTATTCCGAATTACCAACCAAATTGTACGGGGTTGGAAATGGGGATCAAAACATTTAGACTCTCCTGATATTGGCTTGCACACACTATAATCAATATCCAAATATCTACATTTAGATACAGATCCCTTACATTCATACTGTGAGTGCCAGATGAGAGTTTGGGATATTTGGTTACCTGTTTTAGTAGTCTCAATGCAACTATCGCAATTCGGTATGTCTGTACTCCTACCTTCCTGAAAAATCATAAAAATACTAAGACACAATAAAACACATTATTCCTGAAATCCTAATTTTTCTTCGACCGTGCGATGGCCTCTCAGCTTCCCGATTGTGAGGGCTGCAAGGATGTTGTTCTTCTGATCCTCACTTTCCTTCACAGAGATCCCTTCAAGATACTCTGGCTATGACACGTAGGCAGGTGGTCAGGCTTTATTATGGCCGTCAAAACACCTACTTGATGATCTTTGTAGACTTTTAACTAGAATGTCTCGCTATCCCCTCGTCACTCCGACTGAGTTGCACGCTTCAACCGGGTCCTGCAAGGATTCTCAGGATCTGGAGTAGCTTGCCAAGAGTCTGCTGCTGGTTTAACCTTAGAATGATGAATCCAAGGAGTCACTTCCGCCACCTTTACAGCTATTGGGGTAGATAAAAGAACAACATACAAAGGCTAACAGAATACACCCCGAGCTTTAACTCAATATGTATTGGTGGGATATTACGAGCAAGTCCTGGAGGATTATTTTCTTCCCATACTCCTGGAATGTCAAGTAAGGATTCATCACTCTTAGGGTTAACACTTGTCACTATGGAATAGAAGCGTCATTCTTCTTCCCTTGGCACCGATATCACCATTATGCCTGGTAATCCCTTAAACTTCAGAGATGTTAATCCATTAGGTAAAAGGTTATCTGAGCTTAAAGCTTCGATAATAGATCTCGTCCTAAAAGTTGAATCGGACACTCTGGCATATATAGGAACTAATGCTTCACCACATGGCCTCCCAGAATACAAGTGCGACTCTTAAGAACCGGTCTAGCTGCACTTCTCCCAGTAGCTCCTATCACAGTTATAGTCTTCCCCGAAGGCGGAGCCACCATCTTAGTCACAACAGAATGTTCAGCACCTGTGTCGATCATGAAAGAACTTCTCTTTCCCCCTATTGCTACATCGACCATAGGCTCCGCTTGACCAAGTGGGATGGAGCCCGGTCGGTATCAATAGTCTTCCATGATAGTATCAGCCAGACCCACAAAATCTCTATCCTCTCTTTCTCTAGGTCTCTGCGTGGGTGGATAGTATCTGTCTCCTTGAACACTTCCTCTACTATTCCCATCATTCCCTCTAAAACTTCCTCTTACTCTATAACTACCACTATAACCTCCTCGTACCCTTCTCTCTCCTTGTCTATCACCTTCATACTGCTTTCTCTGTGGACACTCACTCTTCCAATGTCCCTCCTTTCTACAATACGCACATTAATTCCTACTTAAAGGTCCCTTGCTCAGCCTATTCTCGTCTCCTCTATTCACTTCCCTGTCTTTCTGCACTTAAGATAGCTACCGCTAGCATATCTTCCTTTTTCCTCATTTTACGTTCTTCCTCCATCTCCCTATTCATATATACTGTATTTGCAATCTCCATTAGCTGTAATATGGACATCCCTGCAAATCCCTCTAATTTCTGTAATTTCCTTTTACTATCACCTTGGGCCTGGCTGACAAATGCTGAGTCTATCATTCGGAAGTTTTCAGGATTGAAAGGAGTGTACAATCTATTTGACTCAAGCAGTGTCTAATATGGGACTTCGGCAAGGCTGCTCAATAATAGGTTCCAGTCTAGGAGTAGTAAGATAGGTGTAAGGGGGTGAGCTAATTTTATTAGTCGGCATTTGGTGGATGAAAAAACGTTTTTGTTTAAAGTGTTAAACCAAAAACCTACCAGTAGGTGTCACCAGAGGGTAATTGTATCAAAATAATCTTTATGGGTCTAATAAGAAAACTCAACTTTTAATATATTTATACATAAAATAAAACCTTATAGCAATAAATATATTAAAATAGGGTAAGCAATCCTACTTCTATCTGTTATAAACAATGTATTATCAATGTAACTCCCAAAGATGGCCCGTAGGTGGCTTAGAGTGCCTCGCTAAAGTCAAATGAAACAAATAGACTTTAATTAATTATGTCCTATTTTATTATTACTTATTTTAATCACTGTCCACCCTGATATCTAGGCTTGATTAAATCTTTAGTTCTAAGGTAAATTAAACATTTCAGTTTGTAGTTTAGTAAAAGGGGACATTTTGGACAAAGCTGGGAGGGGCCCATCCAGTAACTAAAAAAACCCAATATACCATCTGATACCATTGATCATTGATTAGGGGGAGGGGTAGTACAGAAATACAAGAGTTTGAAACACAGGAACAGATAGGTATTTGGGTAGGCGGGGACAGTAGAGCAGGGGGAGTGCAAATACTGACTATATACCAGTTTTTAGCTTGGGAAGAAGAATAGGGGCGTGGCTACTCTAGCTCTGGAGGATGTTTGGGGGGTTGGTAATCAGATGCCAGGGGGGAGGGGATGTCCAAAGCAGTTGTAATTAAGTCCTTAGTTCTGACCACCATATGGCTACATTGTTTCCCATGAGACACAGTTTAACTCACCAAGGCAGTTTTTCAACAATCAGTTTCCAACAGTCAATATATAGAAACTGATCATAGAATTCCAGCCTACTAGTTACAGCCACATGTACACCCTGCACTAAATTTAAGTGAAGACTGCTACATGGAGGCCATGCGGCCACCAGGACAGGCTACTCCCTACTTTTTTTTTTTTTTTTGAAAACATACAAGACAAAAGACTAACAGCCTAGTGAATCAGATTATTTCAACAGAACGTCTGATTCAAAAAGCTGTACAAATATACACACAGTTTCAACAGTCACACCAATCTCCTTATCACCAGCAACACATTGCGCAGTCACTAGGCCCAAACACACACACAGGATCCTCACATGCTCAACAATATCACGACGTCGCACACACGAAATTAAATCAAAAACCCACCAAAGACTATACACTTATCAATGTAACTATTATTCAAACCATACAACTATCCACGCTATTAATCCATATAAACTAACCGATCACATAACATTTCAACAATTTCATCTCTACAATTATCCGTACTATAAATCAACTTTTGACTAACCAACTATATCACATTCTAGTAACCTCATCTTTACAGTCAGTGGTTATGGTACAGTTAGTAAGTGGTTATAATACAGTTTTAAAGTCACAGATCAGTTAGTAACAGTTATGGTATTATACATATAACATAAAACAGCAATTGTTAGTAATTTTTACACAATGTCAGTGGTTATGGTACATGTCAGTAGTTATGGTACCGTGCGCTATTTTACAGTTATACACACAATTTACACTCCCACTAGACAGCAGAGCTCTAACTTTCTAGTAGGACATACAAGTTAACCAATTCACCAACTACAATATATTTAACAACATTTACAATAATCCCAACTATTCTAACTGGCCAGCACCTCGAGAGCTTTCGATCTATTTATACACCAGAGATTCGATAAGTTCTTCGCTGCCCAGACACCACGTATAGCGAACTAGAGGGCAGAATTTACACAGTACCCAACTAGTCTATTAAACTATCAATAAGCTAGTGGCTGGATTTACAACAGAGCACACTTAGTTAAGATAGGGTGAAATCTAGCAAACTATAATATACAACAGAGTATGCTAGTCTCCCGGTCGACCTAGCGAACAAAATTTACACCCTAGATACGCTAGTCAAGACAGGACACCGGTGTCCGACATGAGCTATTTACACCAGAACTCAGTCTGACCCAAACCACCTATATTAGACGGGCTGACTACAGAGCGTCTAATTTCCAGATAAGTGTTGCGCTTTTCACTTCTTCCATCCATAAGGACAGGGCAGATTCCAATAACCGGTTCCAAATATAAAACCCCTTGTGGGTCTACCGCTCTAACGGTATCAATCTTACCTGTTAATTTCTGGACCTGGGTTCACTCATAGACGGAACAATCCGGGACTCACTGCGCAGAAGCCGATGATCTCCTGGACAAAAGGCCAGTGGCGCCGAGACGAAAGGAGGTCCACGCAGTAGAAGTCCAGGATTGTAGCGTAGAAGGTTTGGTAAAAGTTTACCGTCTCAAATCTCTGCGCTAGCTTCCATGCAAATGAGGTTCCCACTGCCAATGCACCAGAGATGTTGCAGTGTAAGCATGCAGAAGCCAAACACAGAAATATTGGACACAGGTCTTCAGGAAGTAACAGGCCTTTATTCACATTACCGATCGGGTCTCAGATGAACTCCTGTTCTAAAAGATCTGAGAGACCAACACATAGTGTACATTCCTTATATAGCACTATAACTCCTCCCATTAATAGCTACACCCACATATACCTTTAACCAATCAATGAGCAGAATATAGACTTGTACATCTAGTCAAACCACATGGCTCATCCAAGACAAAAGGAAATAAGTGCAATTCCAGTTCCTGCATTCCTGCACATGCTCAGTACACTGATGACAGTATCCTAGTTACATGTAGCTAACCAACTGACACAACATACACATATGCCACATGGAGATTTTGACCTACTAAATTTTGACCATGCTGGAATCCCATCACAAAATTGCTAGCAATCTCGGTGGGGATCAGCATACTATCAGCGTGATCCCCACCACATGTACCTTCTGGCTAAGAGTTACAGGAGTAAAATTGCTAGCAATCTCGGTGGGGATCAGCATACTATCAGCGTGATCCCCATCACATGTACCTTCTGGCTGAGAGTTACAGGAGTAAAATTGCTAGCAATCGCTATGGGGATCAGCTTACTATCAGCGTGATCCCCACCACATGTACCTTCTGGCTGAGAGTTACAGGAGTAAAATTGCTAGCAATCTCGGTGGGGAGCAGCATGCTATCAGCGTGATCCCCACATGTACCTTCTGGCTAAGAGTTACAGGAGTAAAATTGCTAGCAATCTCAGTGGGGATCAGCATACTATCAGCGTGATGCCCACATGTACCTTCTGGCTAAGAGTTACAGCAGTGAAATTGCTAGCAATCTCTGTGGGAAAAGCATAGGTTGCAGGGATGGCACATAATATCAGTGTGATCCCCACATGTACCTGCTGGCTGAGAGTTACAGGTGTGAAATTGCTAGCAATCTCTGTGGGGATCAGCATAGGTTGCAGGGATACCACATACTATCAGTGTGATCCCCACATGTACCTGCTGGCTGAGAGTGATAGGAAAGATTGCTAGCAGTCTCACTCCTGTCACTCACAGCCTCCAGATACATGTGTGATCACCAGATGTACCCACTGACTGAGACTGCCTGGAGTCAGATTCCTAGCACTCTCAGCCACCAGGTACGTCATGTGTGATCACCAGATGTCCCCACTGACTGAGACTCCTTGGAGTCAGATTCCTAGCACTCTCTCTCCTATCACTCTCAGCCACCAGGAACATGTAGGGATCCGTGTGACAGTGTGATCCCCACGTGAGGTCACCCAATCAGACCATCAAGGGTGAGCACTAACTACTTGTAATGAAAGGGAAGCTCTGCCAACGTGTGCCCTTATCCAAGATGGCCGCTGCCCTGCAAGGTGCCGCTGACGTCACGAGCGCGCCAGGCTGGACAGGCTGTAGGAGTGCCTGGGAGAGGCGTGCTCTGTGTAGGGCTGCATTCCCCTGGCTCTGGGACTCACTGGAGAGGGCGCAGGGAGAGGTAAGAGGCAATGCTTCCTGGACATTCACCCACTGTGTGCATGAAGGGGTTAACTTATCAATGAGGAGCTCACAAGGCAAGTAACTTCCCATCACATTAACCCCTGCTGTGCCAAGTGGGAAATCAGGATCTGGGAAATGGACTAACCTTTACACAATAAAACCCCAGAACTGGGAGTGGGTCCACAGACAGGAAATACACTGTGCATTGTGTTTATTGTTATTAAATTTAATAATCTCTTCCAGATTCCAATTCTTCATCTTTACACCCCACCCCCCCCTGCATCCCTCTTACATCAGCAATGCAGGGTTTATCTCCCCCTCCCCAGCAGAGTGTGTAATTAATGCTGCATGCAGTATGCTACCGTATGTATTTATAGACTGGCTGATAAGTATTTCACAGCATGATGTACATACAGTCCTGGACACACACTGGAAGGTGACTAAGATCCATTAATTCCATTCTGCTCACAGTATGGTGTGTATGACCTTGGGAGCTGCTGTCCTCCTCATCTGCTGATCAAGAGACTTGGATACATTGACAAAAACTTCATACTCCCTATTCTAATGTCACTGCTATATTTCTAAAAATGGGGGAGATCTATTTTGGCAAATTTCTAAATAAGGTCCAATCACCATGGAAACCATGAGGACATCCCTCATCATTTATCACTTTGCACTCCATGCAGCCTCTTATTTTGATTTGAAAAATCCTCGCTATAATCTCTTGAAGCTATGACAGAATGCAATTTAGCAGCTGTCACCTTTTAGCAGTGATTATATATTCAGAATAGTTTGTCTTCTCTGGAAAATTATATTTGATTTATTTTTCAAGATATACAGGATAGTAAATGGACAAATATTAGAGAGAGAACTCAATTACGAGTTGTTTGTTTTATTCAGTGATTATGTGTATTTTAAAAAAGCGTTATTTAGATCAATGTTTTGTTACATATTGACATTGCGGTGCTCAGTCAATTCTTGTAGTGTCTGCACTGTGTACAAAATATTGCAAAAATAATGTGAGCAGTCACAACTTCCTATGTCCTTCCTGTGTATAAAAATATCTATCAGACTTTTTTTCTGCTTACCGTACGTTTGCACAGATATTTCTAAGGGAGTTATTCACTAAATGGTGAATTGACAACTCCGCAATCAAATGTTTTCTGTAGTTGTTTTAGTGAGTTTTCTTTTCTTGCAAATGGTTGTCATATGATGAGGAAATATATATCTGGAGAGTTTGTTTATGATGACCTGTACATTTTACAATAAATGGAGACTAATAACTAAATTGACTGTACTTCCCTGAATAGTGAATGGCTTAGAATTCAGAAGGAATTTAATATGTTTGGCAAAAATAGCAGCTTCGAGTACATAAGTGATTTGAAGAGTGTCCTATTTTGTCCTGTTATTGCCTAGCTTTTTAAATTCGCTTTTAAGTGAATTGTGGAGAAGGGGCTTGCAAATTTTATATCAAAATAGCCGGATAAGAAAAATGTATGCATTTTCAGTTTCTTCAACAATATTTCACATCAACTTCACCCTGTTAAGTAAATAACTCCTGGTGATTTTCCTTTTTGTTTACCCATTTTAATTCTTTAATTCCAGCAGTAAGTCATTAGAGTTAATACAAAGGAGAAATCCTTTTTAAATATTAAACAAGTAAAAAATAAAATAAAATCAGCATTTATTTATTGTATATGTTATACTCTGCAAGGGCACTTGAATACTCTTTTCCGTGGATGTTCGATATGATGCATATCTGCACCAAATTGTATATTGAGACCCAAAGTAACAGTTACTGTTTATTGAGTAAGCCGCAGAATAAGCACTACACGTCACTGATCCTTCTGTGAACTACAGTGCAGATATAATTGAATTTGGAAAGAGAAGAGGTCAAAATAACTGACTTAGACAACATCTTAATTGCCAGATTGTCTATGGTGGCCTTTGTTTTTTTCAAAGTCCATTTTCTATTTGTGGATTCATGAATACACCCCTCGGAGGTTGCTATGGGTATAGAATAAGGGCTATTATTGTGTTCTACCTGGGCATGAAAGCTTAGTCAGCGCTGATGTCTAAGTCTAAACTGTTGTGGGGTCCAGATGTGCCTTTGTTATTACTAACCTGATGGATTCTCTCCTGTCGTTTCACTGCATTGTAGGGGAGCAAAGTGCATTATGTAAAGTATCGAGGGTACGTTATCTTTTGGATACTCCTTCCTTGGAGTACGGCAGCTGAGAATCATGGATGAAGCCGCTTATTCCCTGGGGATCGCTGATATTTCCTACCTGCATAATCTGGGTGATTATACAAGTGGAAGGTGGAAGAACAGCACAGAAGAATGGGTGAGTGAATAAGACAGATTTGTGTCCTAAAGTGAATTTCAAATTTAAAGTCAAAATAGCCAACATGGAAAAATTCTCTAGGTCGCATACTGTGGCCTTAAATTTAGAATTCTTACTTCAGTAAATAAATCCTGTTTGTTCTTGAGCTGCTGTTGCAGCATGTGAAGACCTTTCCCTAGAGGTTTGTGCTGGGTTGGCCACCTACGCTTTTCAGAGAATGAAATAAATTGCCTTTTTTACTACCATTTTTGTGATCTGTGCTTTTTTCAAATATGTGGAGTTTATTCGCCAAACCATTATGTATAGAGCATTTTTGAAAAAAAAAAATGTAGATTTCAAGTCCAAATAACCAAGCTGACTTGCAGAGCAATTCCAGGTCAGTGGTTTTCACATGAAGTTTAAAATTCTCCCTTAGAAGCTCTTCATTATCTTCATTATTATTAATATTGATATATTTTATGAGTAAAAACAAGACAAAAGGAAACAAATAGAATCTTTATGTAAACCATTTTTTAGTCATTGTATAAAAATAAGACAGAGTGTTTGATGTTTATTTATCTCCCTGGTTTACCCAGATGAGTATTTTGCCCAGCTCTCTGTTTACCCTCCCATTTGCTATTACTGGTTAGTTTTGGATACGGCCCCTCTTTAAATATTAACTCCTGGAGAAGTTACAGAATAGTGAGACCATTTTCTGGCTCCAGAATTATTGTAAATGTCACTTGGATTAATGCCCTCTAGTAATGCTGGATGTACTATTTAAAATAGGAAAACCCCCCAAAAGTAAGCGATTTTTAAATGTCAAACACTGGAGCCAGTCCAATGTATTTTGTCATGTCAGAGCGCCTGAGCTTTGATGCCTTGGAATTGTAGCTTTTTAGAGTAAATAAAAGCCAGGTAGCCGATTTAAAATACACATTTCTTATAAAAAAATTCTCGTACTTTATTCTTGTGAGTGCACATACCCTAAGCCTGGTATCTGAATTAAATGGTTACTCTAAGCACCCTAACCACTTCTGATTTTAAGTTGTTGTGGTGCCTGGAGTCTGTCTGTGCAGACTTTCACTATGATACGTTCTACATACTGAATTTAACTTCCCTGCTGCCTGGATGTAACTCCACCTCCAGCCATGCTATTGGTGCATCATTATCTGGTCCGAAACAAGAGGTCTGGGCTTAGTAATGTGAATTCTGTGCAATTTTGACTTCTTATGTCTGCACACACAACATACTGGAGACAGGCGTCCAGCGGCGGCACGGCCCCCCTCTGTGTCACCCATGTCCTCCCCTCAGCCTAGCTTCCCTGACATCCATGCCCCCCAAACAAGAGGAGTAACGTCAGAGGAAAATCAGGCTGCAGGGAGTAAATATTAGCTATATACTTTAGTTTACATTTTTATAACTTTTTTGGTGGTAGGTGATGTGGAACAGTATAGAAAGGGTTACTAAGAAAATGTGATTTCCTAAAAGAATAGAGTTATTATTTATTTTTATTTTTTTTCTATACGTCTATTTGTTTTAATGTTTATTACATATTTGGTGAATACGCTCCTGTATAGTGCATGTCTGCATTACGATAAAAAACTTAGGTTTTAGAATATAAAAAAAGAACATTTGTTATCCGTGCCGATATTAAGCCATTTAAAGACCACATTTTCTGATATAATAACATGCTTTTTTTTTTTTGTGTGCTTTCTTCATCACTGCTCTAACATTATCAGTATGTACTGCTGCTGTTACATACAAAATAAGACCCATAAGGTACAGAGTCTAAAAGAATATTTGCAAAGCAAATGAAGTAGGCCGTTTCCAAGTCCTATTCACTAGCTGTATTATTTAATACCATTTGGGATCAGTAGTAAATTATACAATTTTAATTTAAAAAAAACTTCAGTAACTTCAACCAAAGATTTCTGTAGCTGAAGGCTGACAAGATCCATCGGGTCTCTAATCTACATTTAATGAACTGGTTCTATTCCAGGGTGAGCACATTTCCAGTCCTGCTGTATTTCGATCCGCGACGCTGAACTGGAAAGAGACTCTGATGAACAGAAAGCGTCCGTTTGTGGGCCGATGTTGCTATGTCTGCAGTCCTGTAAGCCGGGTAAGATGATTACAAGCAGACTGTGGTCAGTGATGCAGTATTATCTTGGTAAGATTAACGCTTCAGGTGTTATAATCACAGAACCAAGGTCACGTGTCTGTGTTCACACATTTGTATCTTGTGTGTTCCAGACCTTTGCATATACATAGATCAATGGGTGTCATTAATAGCCTATATACATCATAATGTCCCATCTTTTTACATTTTTACATGGTTTGAATTGTATTGCAGCAAAAGTTTTGATTTGCAGAAAAAGATTTACAGTTACACCTGGTATCTGCAGTAAAACTGTCTAAGTTATAGAATATGTATTATAAATATTATTTTTATATATATTCCAATAGTCCTCGGCACTCACCCCTTCAGTTTTTTGAGCCTCGGTGCAGCCAGCGTACTATATTCAATAAGCAGAGAGGTGCACTCGTAGGTCTTTATCCAATAGTATTCATTCAAGTATAAAGTCTTTATTCAAGTCAAGTATCAAGACTTTATACTTGAATGAATACTATTGAATAAATATCACTTGTATCAAGACCTACAAGTGCACCTCTCTGCATTTGAATGTATGCATGTATTTATACCTACTTTAAATGGTCATAATTTGAAAGTTTTTCTTAAAGATACTTCTAAAACTCATAATTGTTAATCAGAATTTTACTGAAATTCCACTGCTAACAAAATATACTCATGAATACAAAGTACAAAGTACTTTTTCTCATATAGTACCAGAGTTTATGGCTGATCTTCCTTGTTAATCCCAATTTATTGCATAAGTGCAAGATTTTCACTGGAAGATCTTGCGGTCTCCTTTAGGGTGGTGGCGGGTGGATCTTTAACAATGCAAGGTTCCTAAAAGTGACAGTGTCTTTTTAACAATGCCAGCGTTATTGTCTAAACATAGAATATTGAAAGATTAAATCCAAAATTGAAGCCAAACTAGCCAAATGGGGACTAGAGCGAGGAGGATGAATATTTTCAGAACCGCTTTTTTAGCCTCAGTTTTGCAATTCAGATTTAAGCCTCGATTTAGTATTGTTGGATAAGAATTTTATATGATTTTAATATTTTTGGATAAACTTTTAAAATAATTGTTCAATATATTAAGATGTAAAAAAGTACATCATGTAGGAAAAAAGTTATTAAAATACATTAAAACATCAAAATATTATTTTTTTTTTTTTACATTTTATTCATAATAATTTTATAAGTTTATCCAAAATAATGAAATATTTTCAAAACCTTATCCAACAATTTTAAATCGAGGCCTTCATTTGCTAAAATTTAGAGTTTAGAGCCTAACCCCGTGTAGCTCTTGGTGTGGTATACCCTCCTCTTTTTTAGTGAGAAAGTAGATAGCCAGTCCTTGCTCTCTCAGTGAAATTAATATGAGAAGCACTGTGTGTACATATGTGGATGATGTGACATGCACACTTTTAAGAATTCTCAATAGGAGCTGCTCGCTTGTGCACAGCATTCATTGAATCGATTCTCAATTGTGTAGTCCATGAATGATTAATTCCCATAATTATTAAGAAAAAGGCTTGTGTATTACAGCTGTGTACTTTCTATAATAAGAATAGCTTCATGTAGGTGAATCAAATCTTATTTACCAGCATTTAGCACTCCCAGCTTCATTACAACATATAGGTTTTTTTTTTTTTTTATTACTGCAGCAATTCACCAAATATATACTTTCACATATTTGTTCGTGTGCAAATTAATCTTCTACACTTGTTCCAAGATTGCTAATATGCAAAATGCAGGCAACCTATTTATACACTGCTTTATTTTAGTAATGAAAGAAGTGCTTTGCAGGATGAGAACTCTGTTAGCAACTTACCGAGAATCAACATTTACAGCAGCCTGGATCAGTTGTTTCTTGTTAGGAAAGCATCATGGGAGCTGTAGTTCACCCCCAGGTTTTATTTTAGTTTATTATTTTTATAATTTATACTGAATTGCAAAATCTAGGCAAATGTTGCTGGTGTTGCTCACAGTTTGTGTAGTTTGTTAACATTCCTACCGCTTTTTGCTTCAGAGGCTTAACGTGGAAATAAAACCAAACTTATTGTCTGTTTCTGCAGGAAAAGTTTTACAACCCCAGCATCCCATCTTTGGGTCTGCGGAACGTTATCTACATAAATGAAACGCACACAAGGTACGCAGTCTGTTGGATTATGTTCATTAACTCCTTAGTGACTGATCCTTTTCCGAAATTCTGTGCATTTATGAGGCCTTTGGACACTTTTGTTGCCTGTTTGCACTCTACCCACCACAATTTCCAAGTTCTAGTGTGTTGGAAAGTGGACATGGGTCAGATCATTATAAAGTGAATATTCATTGGGTGCTGTCAATGATGTTTGTTTAAGGGTTCTCCAACCACCATGACCACTTCTGGTTTTAGAAGTTGTCGTGGTGGAAGGAGTCTGTATGTGCAGCTTTTTTTGCACTTTTGTGCTGGGGGCTAGTTACACCCCTGGCACACACGACTAATGTCAATTCTGTGCAAACTTTAAGGAGCTTCTCTGTTGCTCTAACCGTCCTCAGCAGTCCGTCCCGACTTCCACCATTGTCTGTTTCTTGGTTTTTGTTTACATATTCTTTTATAAATCCCATCTCCTGTACACTTCTTCCCTCCATTCCCTATCCGCACATGCTCTCTCAGCCGAGCAGATGGTGCAACCAAATGCTTCTCTATGACCACGATCAGACGCCACTGATGTCAATCCTTTAATTTTATTATCATTAAACTAAATTTGTTCCTGCCACGTTTGGTATTGTTCAGAATTCTGACATTACATGTGTATGTGTGTGATGCCATGTATCAATTCGTTTTTTTGTTTAATTACTTTTTAGACTGAGAATACAACTAATGAGGTCAGATGGCTCCCCAGAAAAAGGGTGGCGCTGTACCCCACTGGCTACAGCGCTTCCCTTTTTCTGGGGAGCCGTCTGACCTCATTAGTTGTATTCTTTGTCTATTTGTATAATTAGAGTTAAGCCCTTTATACCTCTGTAACCTACCCCTGGCAAGAGAGTAGGTTTCCTTACATCTGTGGCCAAGAAGTGTGTGTTTTTCTTTTTTGTCGTACTTTTTAGACTGGTATGGGACTGCTTACATATGTAAGCACCTGGTAGTGTTTGGCATGATCATTTATACTAGGGGTATATTGTGTTTTCCAGGCACCGCGGCTGGCTCGCTCGTCGCCTTTCTTATGTACTTTTTGTACAGGAACGAGATGTAAACAAGAGCATGTTCTGTAGTAACATGGCCGAAATGGTGCTGAATCAAACCAGGTAATAACCGGAGGTGTCACAGTAAAAATTTCATCATAATGCAAAGGTTTTTTTTTTTTTTTTTTTTTTTATGCTGGAACTAATCAAATAATTATTTTATCTTACTATACATTGCTCCTAAACATCCAAGAAAGCATGATATTATAAACTCCACAAGGCTAATTCTTAAAACATTTCACTTCAGCCCTAGAAATGCCTGTGAATTCAATATAAATTCTTATTAAGACATTTCATCTACACCTGATCTCATGTAAGCCAGATAAACATGCACATCATATGCAAATGCTTTCTGTAATTAACTGTATGTTCAGAATATGGCTCTGTAGCAATATAATCTAAACATGCTGTATGGTGCTACAGTATTGGAGTTCCATACTCTTCTCTTGCTTAAAGGACAAACCATGTAACAGTAGCCACTTGGCCATAAACACATGGGATCTAACAATGCTTTTGGTTCAGGCCCTAGGGAGCTATTTACAAAAACTCTCTCTTGGATGCTCTTACAAAACAAAACAAAAATTGTAATGAATTAAAAAATGTTTTGCAAAATTTAGGAAAAAGGGTTGGTTTGGAAAAATTATTTGGCTCATACACCTACATACACCTACATTTTGCAGTTCGGTTTTTAATTTCCTCCGATTTGCTCAATAACCTGTCCATGGAGCTTTGAGCTTATTAGATTTATGTGGCGATCAACAGAACGTGGAACATGGTTCTGCTATGTCCGGTCCCAGGTGGGTGGAGAAGTTGCTTTATTTACATAGTTACATAGTTACATAGCTGAAAAGAGACTTGTGTCCATCAAGTTCAGCCTTCCTCACATTTGTTTTTTGCTGTTGATCCAAGAGAAGTAAAAAAAACTCAGTTTGAAGCACAATTTTGCAACTAGCTAGGAAAAAAATTCCTCCTTGACCCCAGAATGGCAGTCAGATTTATCCTTGGATCAAGCAGTTATTACCCTACATTGAAAGATTAAATCCTTGAATATTCTGTTTTTGCAAGTATGCATCTAGTAGCTGTTTGAACATCTGTATGGACTCTGATAAAACCACTTCTTCAGGCAGAGAATGCCACATCCTGATTGTTCTTACAGTAAAAAAACCTTTCCTTTGCCTTAGATGAAATCTTCTTTCTTCCAGTCTAAACGCATAACCTCGTGTCCTATGTAAAGTCCGGTTTGTGAATAGATTTCCACACAATGGTTTGTATTGGCCCTGAATATATTTATATAAAGTTATCATATCTCCTCTCAGGCAACGTTTTTCTAAACTAAATAGGTTTAAATTTGTTAACCTTTCTTCATAGCTGATATGTTCCATTCCTTTTATTAATTTTGTAGCCCGCCACTCCACTTTTTCTAGTGCCATAATATCCTTCTTTAGAACAGGTGCCCAAAATTGCACAGCATATTCAATATGTGGTCTTACCAGTGATTTATAAAGAGGCAAAATTATATTCTCGTCCCGAGAATGAATGCCTTTTTTCATGCATGACAATACCTTACTGGCCTTGGCCACTGCTGATTGACATTGCACATTGTTGCATAGTTTGTTGTCTATAACAATTCCCAAGTCCTTTTCGTATGTTGTTATCCCTATTTCGCTTCCATTAAGGGTATACGTTGCTTGTGTATTCTTTACACCGAAATGCATAACTTTGCATTTTTCAACATTAAATTTCATCTGCCATTTGAGTGCCCAGTCTATCGAAACCCCTCTGCAGCAAAGTAATATCTTGCTCACATTGTATTATTTTACAAAGTTTTGTGTCATCTGCAAACACTGAAACATGACTTTCAATGCGGTCTTCAAGATCATTTATAAACATGTTAAATAGAAGGGGTCCCAGAACAGACCCCTGAGGGACACCACTTAACACCTCTGTCCAGCTTGAAAATTTACCATTGATGACAACTCTTTGTACTCTGTTTTTAAGCCAATGTTGTACCCAAGAACAAGCATTTTCATCTAGACCAATTTCCTTGAGTTTTAACACTAATCTATTGTGTGGAACTGTATCAAATGCCTTGGCAAAATCCAAATAGATTACATCCACTGCAACTTCTACTTACGTCTTCGTAGAACGCAATCAAGTTAGTTTGACATGACCTGTGCTTCATAAAACCGTACTGATTTTTGCTGATAACCATGTTCCAATCAAGGAATTCTTGAATGTTATCCTTTAATAACCTTTCAAATATTTTACCAGCCACAGAAGTTAAGCTCACAGGTCTATAATTTCCAGGCAAGGATTTTGAACCCTTTTTGAATATAGGATCCACATCTGTCTTCCTCCAATCCTCCGGAACACTTCCTGAAAGAAAAGAATCTTGAAAGATTAAAAACAGAGGTTCACTTATTTCTACACTTAGTTCCTTAAGTACACGTGGATGGATACCGTCAGGCCCTGGAGCTTTGTTTATATTAACTTTCTTTAGTTGCTGCAGCACCTTGTCTTAAGTTAACCAATTACAATTATTCTGCAAGTTTTTATTAGCAATCATTTGCACATCTATTGCCATGGGTTCTTCCTTAATATATACGGAGGAGAAATAGTTATTTAAAATTCCTGCCTTTTCCTGGTCTTCATTAACTAACACCCCCATTTCAGTTTTTAGTGTACCTACACTTTCATTTTGTTTTGTTTTTTAGAATTTATGTACTTAAAAAAGCTTTGAGGTTGGTTTTGCTCTCTTTAGCTATCATTCTTTCATTTTGAAGTTTAGCAAATCTAATTGCCTTTTTGCACGCATTATTTGCTTCCTTATATCTTTTTTATAAGATGCATCTGATTTGTCTGATTTTAATACTTTAAATGCCCTTTTCTTATTTTTAATCTCTTGTTTTACTTCTCTACTAAGCCACATTGGTTTTAATTTGTTTATTTTATATTTATTTCCCAATGGTACCTACTGAGAAATGTACCTTTCTAATATTTTTTTGAAGATGATCCATTTATCCTTGGTGTTCTTTTCACTAAAGAGTTTATGCCAGTCAATATATTGTAAAGCTTCCCTAAACTTATTGAAATTGGCTTTTTAAAAATTATTTGTTTTAGTATTCCCCATGTGCTTTTGTTTTTTTGAGTTTATTTCAAAGGACACTATATTGTGATCACTATTTCCCAAGTGCTCACCTACTTGAATGTTGGTCAAAAGATCAACGACAAGCCAGACAAGCGTCCATTCTAGTTGGTGCTTGTACAAGTTGTGACATGAAGGTGTCGTTTAAAAACATAATTCCCTTTGCTGAGCTACTAGTCCCTCTGTCCCAATTTATGTCCGGGTAATTAAATAAGTTGGGTAGGGATCACTAGATCCAGATTTTAGGGCTCAAAATCTCAAGTCCTACATTACTAGACGGATCTAAATGTTACTCTCCACTGCACACCTGGAGAGTGCTTGGCATCTTCTCTGGTTTAAACTTCTACCTGCCATTGCTGTAGTGTCACTCGCCAATGGCTTGTGGGCGAGTTTAAAGTTTGAGCCCTGCTGATTGTATTCTTCTGCGAAAATGAAATCTGTTCCCATTTCTCTGTGTAAATGCCTCATTGCCCAATCTTATTTTTTTCTTCATCAGAGTCCAAAAAGCCATAGAAGATGTTGCCTCTGAGATGAGTTCTTCAGGGAAGCCTGATCCAAAGTCTGTCAGCAAAGTAAAGAGGAAAGCCAAGAAAATTTTGCAAGAAATGGTGGCATCCATCTCTCCTGCAATGATAAGGTAAACCGTTACTGTGCTGATTTTCATCTGGAACACAAAGAAGCACTGGAGGAAGATGCATTCTTACCTGAAATAATCTGGTGCAGTTCTAGTTACTTAGAATAACTTGAATAACTGGTTACACTTAGTCCTGGCCTGTATTATTGGGCCTAATATGGACTGGGGGAGGGTGCTCTCTTGGAATAATCAAATGTTAAAGAATCTTAATGTTTTGGGCCTTAAAGGGCTTTACAGAGCTGCGATTATCATTTCTCCTAATTTGTAGCTGGGAAGCTCTCCATCTCATTCTATCAACCCGTTACAGAGTTTACTTTTAGAAGATGTCAGAGTAAAAGATCACTTTTTAAACTACATCCTAAATGTTCAATTTGCGAGACATTGAACACATGACCAAACATTAAGTAAAGGTTTTGCTTAAAGGGAACAATCCCTTCTCATGATTTACAATATTATTTTTAGATATCCCTGTGTTTAAAGGGACACTATAGTCATCCAGACCACTTCAGTTTAAGGGAGTGGTCTGGGTGCCAGGTCCCTCAGGTTTTAACCCTTCAGAAGTAAACATAGCAGTTTCAAAGAAACTGCTATGTTTACATTAGGGGTTAAGCCAACCTCTAGTGGCTGTCTTCCTGACAGCCGCTAGAGGTGCTTCTGCAACGCTGGATGCGAAATTCGCATCCATCGCGCAGAGCGTCCATAGGAAAGCATTGAGAATGCTTTCCTATGGACTGTTTGAATGCGCGCGCGGAACTTGCCGCGCATGCACATTCTGCTCCACTCGGGAGCTGATGTCGGTGGGGGAGGAGAGGTCACCAGCGCTGAGGGAGCCCGGTGCTGGATAAAGGTAAGCTGCTGAAGGAGTTTTAACTGCTTCAGTGCCACAGGAGGGGGACCCTGAGGGTGAGGGTCCCCCAAGGATTATATAGTGTCAGGAAAACCGCTTTGTTTTCCTGACACTATAGTTATCCTTTAACATTTAAATAATATGTATTCTTAAGGTTTAAAAAATAAGATTTAAACATAGAAACCCACACCCCTTCTTTCCGCTGCTGGGTGCCTCCATCTTTGGACCTAGTTAATCATTGTTATAAGCTCTGTCCTTTGTACTTGGCAGTCAGCATAGAGAGAAGAGGAGAAGTGAAACAATGTTTTTTTTTCTCCACTTTATTTGCAATGTTTGCCTTGTCTGTATTTAATTATGTTATTTGCTAAATCTTTCATTTCCGTTTAAGAGAAAATGAAGCATCATAGAAAAAAGATTAACACACGTTATATGCGATTTTCAATGGTTTGTTCATTGGTATACATTCTAAAGAACTGACACTTCTACTTTAAACTTTAATGTCAATAAAAGATTTCTGATACAGGGTCCAGGGAACATTTTCTAAAAACATCCCATATTCCTAGTTTAATAGAGACATATAACTTTCAGGGTTTTTAACACTGTTTTTACTCACCCTGTATATTTAACAAATATGGATTTGGTGAAAAAAAAAATATCCACACCTCTTTATACTGCAACTGGGTGCCTCCATTTTGTCTCGCTGTTAATTATTGCTCTAAGCTCTGTACTTTGCAGTCAGCACAGAGATAGAATAAAAATGTTGAACTGGATTGTGATGCCATTTTATAAATCTTTAAAGGAACCTTATAGGGTCAGGAAGAAGAACACAAACCTGCATTCCTGAACATATAGTATAGTATTAAAACCACCATCTAGTCCCTCCTTGCCCCCTACATTTAGTAAAATCTTATCTGTATACCAACCTGCTGCTGGCTCTGTCCCTGATCTGCCTGTTTGGCTGACACAATCCTAATTTTGTGTTCTGAGCCAATGACAGTGCTTTCACATAGGAAAACATTGGATTGGCTGAGCTTGTCAAGGAGGCAGACCACAGCCAAACACAGCCCTGGACAATCAGCACCCCTACATAGAGATGAATTGAATCAATGCATTTCTATGACGAAAGTTTAGTGTCTGCATGCAGAGGGTGGAGACACTGAATGTCAGTCACACTGTGCAGCACTGCCCCAGGAAGCACCTCTAGCAGCCATCTGAGGCGTGGCCAGTGAAGTTATCACTAGGCTGTAATGTAAACACTGCATTTCCTCTGAAAAGACTGTTTACAGCAAAAAGCTTGAAGGGAATGATTATAAACATCAGAACAAATACAATAAGCTGTAGTTGTTCTGGTGACTATAGTGTCCCTTTAATATACTTGTAAAAGTAAAATGGAGGAGCACATGAACATTATAAGACAAGTTATATGTGATTTTCAATATTTTTTTCTAAAGCATAATTCATACGGAACACATAGTTATCCTTTAAATATAATAATTATTATTTTATTATTTATATAGCGCCATCAAATTCCGTAGCGCTGTACAATGGGCGGACTAACAGACGTGTAACTATGATATAAACGCGCTTCTTGCCATAGTAACACAACTTCTTTGTTTTATTTTTCTCCATGAATTCTTGTGGAGGAAGCATGTCATTTATTTATCTGTCCCAGTTTTGTTCTCCCCCTTACTGCTCCCAGCTGTATAACCACATCTGACATAAATTATGGCTGTTACCTCCAGGTATTAAGATCTCTTCATATGTTGCTCTATTTCTGCAGGCTGACTGGGTGGGTTCTGCTGAAACTATTCAACAGCTTCTTTTGGAACATTCAGGTTCATAAAGGCCAGCTGGAGATGGTGAAAAAAGCATCTTCAGAGGTATTGTATTGACAATTCATGAGGGAATATTTTTCTGTTTGTGAAATCCAGCTCCGTATGTTAGAGTTTTGGGATTTTCCTGTACGGCGTCTTACTATTGTGCAAAGCCCTATATTCTGTATAAAGAAGATACAGAGTTAAGAGACAGGTTGAGGGGAAACAAAAGCTCTAAGTTTCTTAAAGATTTATGTTTTCAATTAATCAGAACGCAACCAAATTCAAATTATATATAATAACTAGTATATGGCTGATGAAATTCAACCAATAGCTCTTTCATTCATCTTCCCATTACGGTAGAATGCTAGTAATAAACAGCGTATTTGTTTGAGTCCTGGATTCTGTTTGGCTACTGACATCATACATTCCCAGCATTTAAAAAAACTAAACTTCACTATTGCTTGGATACACAAAAGTAATGGGGCACTCTTAGACCCATAAGCATTACAGCTTTCTAGTGGCTCTGTTACCTGGCGCCGAACCATTTTTTTTCATAGTCTTGCATCTTACTCAGTGTTTTGCTGTGGGTGCAGTGGGGAGAACATTAGTTTATTTTAAACCAACTTAATATGGTTTGACACAGAAGCTGTGAGCTGTAGTGGTTATGGTGCCGAAAGTCCCTCTTTCTTTAATCTTCTTTAGTGTAGCGTCGAACTGATTGAAGCCAGAAAAACATGTAACAGCTTCACTTTAAGTTGAAACATTACCGTTTCTGTATCTTTGTGTCAGAAGGCACACCTGTGAATCAATTAAATGCGACCGTGCGTTATGTAACACAGCAGGATTGGCAACATTTCTTTCCATATGGGCTTAAGGAATAATAGGAACTCCACCTAGGTTGAGCACCGTCTGAGTGAATCTGGCATGCCAAACACCTAAAATTATGCAGATCTGATAATATCTTCCCACATTCATTTTAAACACATGTTTTAAAACTGGTTTTGCTGCTAGCCAAAAATAAATAAAGGATCCAGCTTTTCACTGCCATTTCATTGTGACGTGGTATAGAAACACAAAATAGGAATGGTGCGAAGCTTGACACACCTGAAGAATTTCAGTGTGTTGGTTGTTGATATTTTAACAGTTATATAGGTTGAACAAGTGTTCAGTCTGCCCAGTTTAACCTGTCACGTATCTGTCCCTGCTTGCTATTACAAAAGAAGGTTTAAAAAAAAAAAAACATTTTTAAATGATTTCAAAGCGTGCTGTGGAAAGGGTGAATTAACTAATTCTTGACTCCCAAATGGCCAACAGATAATTCTGTGGCATAACCAATTGCCTATAAACTAGTCTAGATCAGAATATCCTACTCTGCCAAAAAGGCATCCACACCTTTTCAAAACAAATCTACTGAATCTAATAAACAATGTTAATTACAGTACCCCTTAAGATTCTTCTTCTTTTTTTAAATTCTTTATTTTATAGTGCGCAGGTTAACCGTACACGCTTGCCTTTCTTCAACAGCTTTGGCAAGCCTAGTTATGACAGTATGATAAACATTGGTATGGCAGTTCAGATAACAGCAAACTTTTTTTTATTTTATTTTTTTAAAACAACATTCAGCAACAGGTTGGCTTAACGTAAGAAGAGTGTTCATTTGCATTACACTAGCTTATAGTTGAGCAGTAACATGTCAGTTAGTTTGCACAAGCAGTGTTTCAGAGGGTATTCACAACATGTCAGGAGTATTGTACGTTTGAGCAGGCTTGCTACATAATTTACACTAGGCTTGTAAGTCATGCATTGTAGGTTCAATCTAGCATATTATATACAAAAACACTTGTAGGAGCCTAAGCATGTTCTAAATTGAGTAGTGTAGGAGTAGTAAACATAGTAGGTAAGAGAGTAGTTAGTATGCCACTGGGGACTTGTCATGGAATATAGAGAGGCAGGGGTTAATGCTAAGGGCTCAATACAGTTTAGCTGGTCTGGGTCACACCCCTGTCCGCCTCCCTCCGCCGGCTTGGCTAAGCATGATAGGAAAAGGCATCTAAGCCCAGCCATCTCTGCTCTGCCTGTCTCAGGTCGCAGCACAGGCTCTTATCTGGCATTCTCTGATCTAGCTCTAGCTGTAGTCGATATCAGAGTCCACAGGTTTATCCACCCAGGTGTCAGGCATCCATGTGAGGTTTCTACTGCTCAAGGCTTTTGGCTTGAGTAAGTTGTTGCCGGAACGTCTGTGCTGGGATGTGGGTGGATGTTGCACAAAGTCCTCTTTCAGCTGTAGGGCTTTCTTTACCGTGGAGCCCGTGAGTGGAGGCAGGGATCCTTCCACAGCCTCCATAGGGATTCCGCCTGTAGGCTGCTCATCGCGGACGTTCACGTGGAGGCTTAGGCGGCGGCCATTTTAGCTCCAGAGTGTGGGAGACTGGGTGTGGATTAAATTACAGCGTTCCCCTTCCTGCTGTCGGGGGCCCTCCATTGGGGACTGGGATAACCCCCACCGGTCCAAAGGGGGGAACGGGACCAGGACCATATCAGAGAGCCGGTGTGTGTGATAGCCGGGGGAGAAAGCAGGATGGCGGCCGTCCACCCTGCCCCTTCCTCGATTAGGCCGCAGACACCAAAGTCTTTTTGTTCCCTCCCGGGCTCCAAAAACTACCGATCTCTGGGTCTGCTGCAGCACCGATAGCCATGTAATGTTTTTGTCATTATTCCGGGCTCAGTTTAGTTTAGGAGCAGCATATTTCAGCATATATATCTGAGTCCCTCAGCAGCCTCTCTTGAATGCGACCGGTCAGCATGGCAACCCGGCCATGCACCCCCCCTTAAGATTCATACATAGCAATGCAGTTATTTATTACAGTAGGTAAAATAGTACATGTTTGGTGATTTCCACTAGATATTTACTTTACACACCCAGTGTGTTGAGAACACAATTCCCAACATATATTTAGTTCCTCACAAAAGTCTGAATGGGGAAAAACCATCCCCAATCAGACTGCAAAATCTAACATCAAATGGGTGTGAATTTGGTCCAGATTTAAATGCTGCTGGACAGCTGAATTCCAGTTCCAGAGGCTTCACATCCGGGCCTGGATTTAATGCCTTCCAATGCAAAGGTTAACTATGTGGCAGCTGGCCAGCGTTTATAGCCAGCCACAACATTAAAGCAGCTCTAAGCAATAGGTGGGGTCATATCTCCTAAATGTTTAAAACTTGCGACTACGCATCGGTTTGGGGGACTTGAAAATAAATAATGGGGAGTGGGCAGATCACGGCTTAATAATGGAACAGCCCATACACCTAAATCACTTTATCTTGCTCAAGTGCTTTATGTGAGAAGACTGCATCCTCTTTTTTTTCACAAAGTGCAGATTTCAATAGAAATGGATAATGTATAAATTAACCTTGTTACACCCCCCCGGCTGTCAATCAGACAACATGTTCTGTTACTTCCTGGTTGTTTACCTCATATGAACTAAACTCGAGAGGCAGTAATTGCCCAGAGCACATGCCTTGCAAAGACTTCTCACTGAGCATTGGGAAGTTTATGATTGGCCAGCCGTGGAATGTCTCAGAGGGGTTAGAAGGTGGTGGGGGCCTGCAGGACGTTGCATGCATGTATATATGTTCTAAATTGTTAAAAAAAAAAAAAATTTAAGTTGGAGTGTTACTTTTAAAAGGCACTGCCTGATGATGCAAAATACCCTCAGTAAGTCCAGATTTAATAAAAATGTTTATTTTTTTTTAAATAGAAGATTGTGGTGAAAGAAATATAATAAATAACAATCCCTAAAATATGACTTTTATTAGATACAATTAAAAGTGATCCAAATAAGGATCTATGTAGACAGTGAAATATATGATCACTACTTACAAGTGATGTGTGAAAAAGCGGTATAAGAGTAAAGTGTGGTCACTTTTTCACACATCACTTATTAGTAGTGCTTATATATTTTACTGTCTACATAGATCCTTATTTGGATCACTTTTAATTGTATCTAATAAAAGTCATATTTTAGGGATTGTTATTTATGCATTATATATTTTTTTTTCACCACAATCTTCTATTTCTGTTTAAGTAGGCCTAGTTTCAGTGGTGGAAAATTCTGTCCAAATTATCCTCTTTATCGTAAACAACGGTGATAGACAAGAAATACCTTCACCTGTCGTTCTTTATTTTATTTGTTTATTTATAAGAAAGGGAAAAAAGACTCCATATATCATTTATTTGGATTTACATCACTCATGACCCGAGTGAGACCCTTTTCTGTACTTCTTAGCTCATAAGGAAAAGGTGAGTAAACCAAACTATATGAGCGAAAGTATAACAGAATATACACAGAAAAGTATAACACAGAATATATGGAGGTTAGAACTGATAAGGCTTTGTTAAAATGCACTGTCTGCACAGATTGTTCATTATAAGCAAAGGCTGGAGTGTTTGTCAAAGGTTGGTGGGAATTAAAAGTGTGATCAACCACTTTTTCCCCTCCTTTCCACTAGTGGTTGTTCACACTTTTAATAAAGTGTAAATAAAAGTTAAGTTTTACAAAGCATTACTAATTTAATTTTCCCACAAACCTTTGGCAAACACTCCAGCCTTTGCTTATTTTGTTTATTCTAATATAAGGGTAAACCTCTATTAGGAGTGTTTTCAGACATCTAGCTCATTTTGTGCTTTTTGGTGTTTCTACCAGATTTCACATTATGAGCTCCATCATAGAAAGGCTTCAGAATGCAGTATACTAATGCAAAATTACTTCCTGAGATGGAGGTAATTTAAAGGTTTAATTACACAACTTGTACAAGGAGACTTGAATATGAAGTGAAAACTGGGCCTATCCGCTTTAATCGTCTTGTTGCCTTCATAGAGTGTAGTTTGGTTTACATTGCATGGTTGTATATCTGCATTTGTTGAACGCCTTGAGTATCATGCTTTCAGTGTATCTGTATAATTAATACTTTGCGAAGCATGCTTTCTCTCTCCCCGAATTTAGCGGATTATGTCTGCATATAAAGTGTGTGTACCTCTATGCCAATCCCTGCCATTTCTTTATAACATGGTGGCCAATTGAAATATCGAATTATAACTATGCTCTATGCACTGGGGAGGCCAAATTGTCAGCTAATGTGTATATTAAACATAATTTAAAGGACCACTATAGGCACCCAGACCACTTCAGCTTAATGAAGTGATCTGGGTGCCAGGTCCATCTACGGTTAACCCTGCCTGCTGTAAACATACCAGTTTCACATGGTTTGCAGAGAAACTGCTATGTTTACTTTAGGATTAATCCAGCCTCTAGTGGCTATCTCATTGACAGCCGATAGAGGCGCTTCCGCTTTCCTATGGACTGGCTGAATGCGTGAGCGGCTCTTGCCGCGCACACGCGCATTCAGCTGATGATGGCCAAAAGAGGGGGTGAGTTTTTAACCCTCTTCTTCTCCATTCAGCCTGGCGGGAGGGGGACCCTGAGGGTGGGGGCACCCTCAGGGCACTATAGTGCCAGGAAAACGAGTTTGTTTTCCTGGCACTATAGTGGTCTTTTAATTTAAGGCCTGTTGTATAGTAAATACTACACCTACAAATCATTACACTTTTACAATTCCTCACACGACATCCAATAATGCTTAGCATGCCCACATGTATTGTGGGAGAGCGTGGATGCAGCCCACTGAATAGAACATAGGGAAATGTAATCTATACATTGCTGGTGAAATACCTGACACAATGTATAAAGCAACTCATGCTCTTGTCATATCATTATATCTGTGTTGGGTGTTCTTGTTTCTTTTTTTGTTCTCCACCCGCGTTTGTTAGTTTGAAGACTTGATCCTTCTGAAGGGGTGGTCTCATTTCGTCAAAGCTGTCTGATCCCTCTGTTTGTGTGCGCTTTCTCATGACTCCCTGTGTACAGAACCATTGCTTGTCTCTGTCTTTAGATGAACACCCCGCTTGTTTTCTTGCCTGTCCACAAGTCTCACATTGACTACCTGCTCCTCACCTTCGTCTTGTTCTGCCACAATATCAAAGCTCCGCACATTGCCGCAGGGAACAACCTCAACATCCCCATCTTCAGGTCAGTATGTGCACTGCATGTAGGGAACGGGCTCACTCAATTCTCCTTTGCTTACTTTGCACTTGTCTGGTCTGTACAGTCACCACCTTAACTTCATTTATCAGTTCTAGACAGAGAACGACTCTTAAATATTTTAACAAAAAACAAACAAGCACAAATAGTGAAAGCAGATAAAACCAGCTGGCACATTTCCAGTCTAAAAACACAAGCTTTATTCGTCCAACTCAAGCTAATGAAACTCTTCCACCGTATTGGTCTTCACCACTTTTACTGGACAGCTACTCCATGCACCTACGACTGTTTACCCATAAGCTGTTTTTTCATTATTCAATCCTCCTGTTCGAAAGCAGGCTTGACGCCGATGTGGTTCGTTAATAACTTACCACCATAGTTAACCCCTTTCATGTCAAACTTATGTTCATGCACAGAAGCAAATACCAGCAGAAATCTAATTTTTAAATTAGTTTCTTTTGACCAAAATAGAAGACTAATATCTGGGGATACCTCGCTTGGAGGCAAATTGTTTTATTTTAATGATTGTACAAGACCACAGCATGCTTGTTACTTTTCTTATTAAATCATAATGAATATCTCCATACACTTGTTGCATTCACAGCACTTTAATTCACTTACTGGGAGGATTTTTCATAAGGCGCAAGCTAGATGAGACCCGAGATGGGAAGAAAGACATCCTGTATAGGTCTTTGCTGCAAGGGGTGAGTACAGCTAACTTCTTTAGGGACTTAGTTGTTTTAAGAAACTGCATCAACATGTCTTTCATTTGTTTCCACGGTCATTGCTCCCTCTAGAGCTGTGTGCTAAATGTAATCTCATTTGTCCTGGTGTGCCCATGTGGGTTGCAGGTTTTGAAGAAGGATGGTTTCATGTAGCTAGAAATAGATGTAATTTATTTGAACTGTCTGTGAACGTGCACACCTGCCTAGAATCTTGGGGGGGAAAAAAGTGGGGAGGGGGTTTGTGCACTTCAAGCTGATATTTGTGGTATCACCTGCCAAGCTGTAGAAGTCCTGGTCCATCTCCCTGTTTCACTTTTGGATTACCCTTACATATTTTTTTTTTTCTTCTTTCTTTTTTTTGAGAAATGTGTTAAATTAAACTGACGGTATCCCCTATTTATGTTTTAGTATATTGAAGAATTGCTGAATAAGCATCAGTTTCTGGAGATCTTCTTGGAAGGAACTCGATCACGCAGTGGAAAGACCTCCTGCGGCCGAGCTGGTCTCCTTTCGGTCATCGTAGATACTGTCTGTAATGGCTCTACCCCTGACGTTCTCATCATACCAGTAGGAGTCTCGTATGACCGAATCATCGAGGGACATTATAATGGAGAGCAGCTGGTGAGTATGGATTGTACGCTTTGACAGTGACTGTTGAAGTAGTTCGTTGGCAGAAAATACCTGAATATTTATTTTCTCCTCCATCCTATGTGTATTTATATATTTAGCCAGACATTAAGGGTTGCTGACTTTTAAAGTGTTGCTGCCATTTTATTTGTAGTTGGCATTGTATTATTTCCTTTTCATTCCTGAACTTCACAATCAACTATTAACCAGGTTCTGTCGGTGGATAATAGTCATTGATGGAATTGATAGTTTTTTAGTCATAACCTTCCCCCCCCTCCCCCATCAAAGTCACGTTTTTATATCTGTCACTAAGACTTAAAGGACCACTATAGTGCCAGGAAAACATACTTGTTTTCCTGGCTCTATAGGGTCTCTAGGTCCCCCCCCACCCTCAGGGCCCCCCTCCCGCCAGGCTCCTGAGGGTATAAGGAGTTAAATTTACCTCTTTTTCCAGCGCCGGCTGGGGGACTCTTCTCCTCTTCCTCTCCTCGTCCTCTCCTCCTCCTCTCCTCTTCCTCTCCTCCTACTCTCCTCCTCTCTTCCTCCTCTCCTCCTCCTTCTCGTTGTCATCGGCTGAATGCGCATGCGAGGCACGAGCTGTGCGCGCATTCAGCCAGTCCATAGGAAAGCATTCTCAATGCTTTCCTATGGACGCTGGCGTCTTCTCACTGTGAAAATCACGGTGAGAAGCGCGGAAGTGCCTCTAGCAGCGGTCAATGAGACAGCCACTAGAGGCTGGATTAACCCTATTATAAACATAGCAGTTTATCTGAAACGGCAGTGTTTATAGAAGAAAGGGTTAATCCTAGCTGGACCTGGCACCCAGATCTGGGTGCCTATAGTGGTCCTTTAACCCCTTAAGGACACATGACGTGTGAGATGTCATGATTCCCTTTTATTCCAGAAATTTGGCCCTTAAGGGTTTAAATGTATTAATTTAACAAGCTACTACATTGATTGGATTATCTTCTCCTTGTATAATACTAGTGAGTAAACTATAGGTAGCTATTCTGAATCTAAAGCGAAGTACTATTTAATTAATACAGAATCTCACAAATTCATAATATCGTACATGTAAGCATAATTCTTCACACAGATTTCCAAGATTCCAAGTGTGTGTTTAGATGACATTTACATCTCGTCCATGTACACAGACGTCTAAGAACACGTAAAGCATAAACACATAGACCATATAGTATGTTCACAATTCACTAAAACAATATATTTTATTTATATTATGCCTACTTTTATTTATCCCCGTAGCAAATACAAATGCAGGTTTAATATTTTAGTTGTCATCCACTGTCTGGATTCCTTGCATTGATTTTGCAGATACGTTTTACTAACGCTACAGTGTTCCTTTATATGTGTCTGTATTCCTCACGCTACAGTCTTGATGTTCTTGCTTAGTTCAGGGCCTTCCCATCTGTTAAAAAATAAAAATGAGATATAGCAAATTGCTCACCTTTTCTCCAGCAGCGAGTCTCTATATCGGCGCTGACTCTGCCTCCTCCTCAAGTGACGTCATCTTGGAAGCTTGCCTCCAGGATGAAGGTCTGAGTCAATGTTTCTCATAGAGGAGCATTGGGGACCTTAGGCACATGTGTGACGCTTGCCGCAATGCACCTAAGATTCTTAGGATTCTCTATGATAGATTGTGACAGCCCTGCGCATGTATGCGTGGCGTCCAGGTATGTTATGGTTTGAGAGCTGGAAAGTACTACATTTTATTTGTTCAATTTAAAGGGCAAACCTGTTATGGTTTGAGAGCTGGAAAGTACTACATTTTATTTGTTCAATTTAAAGGGCAAACCTAAGAAAGATGAAAGCTTGTGGAGCATCGCTAGAGGAGTTTTTCGAATGCTGAGAAAGAACTATGGCTGCGTCCGTGTTGATTTTGCACAACCCTTTTCCTTAAAGGTCAGTAATAAAATCAACTATTCACATGTTTACTGCTGTATGAAGGACCTGAAAAAGTAGCTTCACAGAAATGTCATTTTATTATCCATGGTCTGTATCTTGAATGCTAATTCTAAAATTCTTTCTCAAAACGTAAAATGGCCTACTAACAGTTTTCAGGATACGATAAAATTCATGTCAAGAAAACTTCCTTCTCTGGCTGCTGGCTCATCATTTACTATGCAAGGGGCAAATGACTGATGAGGTTAATCACTAAACTTTCTAGACTTAATCCCGAATGACTAAACCGAGGCAAGAATAGGTGATCTGGAATTTTTTTTGTTCCACAATTAGCCATGGTCTGAGCTTGACTATTTATGCTTCAGTTTTTTCAGAATTAATTCACACATTTTCAGCATTTGGTGAATGAAACTGTGGTTATTCATTGATTAAAAACCTTTAGTGATTATTAGCTTAAGTGATGAATTGCAGGGCAGTGTTTAAAAGCCACTTTGTAAAAATTAGGACAAAATACCAGAGTTGAATATATAGACGAGTTTGTGATTTTATATATATATATATATATATATATATATATATATTATTTATTTTTTTGTATATATTATTTTTTTTTTTTTGTATATTTTTTTTTTCTCTCCCATAAAAGTTAATTTGGCCAAATATGTTTGAGCTGTCTGTCAACTCAGCTGTATATGAGGGAAAGAAGCACCTGATCTGCATGTTTCCTGTGCCAATTGCACAAACTTGATGTTCAGTCCTGCATATGACAGTGTTCTCCACTCCCCTCTTCCGGAGAGATGTTACATGGATGTACCACTCATTGTAGTAATTTCCTTGAGCAGCTGTGTAATACTTTAAACTAAATCCCACAGCTTGGAAATAAGTGTCTCTGCAAAATAACATTTTGACTTTTTCACTAACGAGAGATCCAGCTTTTCTCAGTAATGGTTTTTGTTTGCAGGAATATCTAGAGAATCAACGGCAAAAACCTTTGTCAGGGTTGCAGCGATTAGAACAAACTCTGTTACCAGCCATACTTTCTGACAGGTAAGTTTACCTTTAAATACTGTGTGTCCATTTTAGTGTGGGATAATAATATAGATTGCATTAAAGGCTGCACATTGTTAAGTCAGTGTCTGCTCGTTGCTTGACCTCTTGATTGCCCGGCAGTGCAGGGTTTATTGTAATTTTTTTTTTCCTTAAATGCTGACACCTGACTTTGACAGAGAGATTTTATTTATTTATTTTTTTACTGTATATTTTTTCCCTTTAACTGTACACAGTGCTAAAGGAACACAATTGTATTTTTCTCACAATTTAAGGTGATCAACTTGTAATAGTTTTTATTTAGGTTTGGATGTCTACCGCCAGCCTCCGCCCACAACGTCATCTGGCTCTCTTGCCGATAACCAAACCTGTACTCCTAATAGTAGAGCATTTGGTGCTGATGGGTTTGTGCGGCAAGCACCTCCAAATGCTTTACATGCAAAATCATTGAATTTATATATGTGGGTGCTGAGCAGGAATAGTCTAGTTGATATATTCCTCCCCACCCCTTTTTCACCACCATGCAGTAGCTATATCGCTTTGGGTTTTTGCAAAAAATATGGTGACTCCACAGGACATGATGCTACTTTGATATCTGTTTGGGGATTAAATAACTCTTTATTGTATTCTTTACTCCAGACCAATTGATGCTGCAAGTGAAAATGAAGTTGCTCTTCCTGACCAAAGGAACTCCGCAAACGACCCTCTCAGGAGACAGATGATTACAGACCTGGCCAATCATGTGCTTTATAGTAAGTATGGTGCAGTGCATTGTGGGTTCTGCAAAAGAGTTTGCACTGTAGCAGGGACACATTGTAAAATAGTCAAACTCACATCATGTGACACATTTCATATGTACGCAAGTTCTTAATACAAAATATCCAGCACTCACCTAGGGACCAAGGAAGTAGTTGTCAGATTTTTTTTCGCGCCATTGAGTTCTCTTGAACCCCTATCGGTGTTTCTGGCCTTTCTGGAAGATAATGGGTTAAGTAGCCTGTAAAATATTTTGGTTATTGTGTCAGTACATCAATGCATTCTCTAGGATCCCAATTCTTCACTTTTATTAGCCTCCTCTTTCTACTTTAGCTCCCATTTGTGTGCAGGCATTTGCTGTAAATGCTTACACAATCCTCCTCAACAAGGAGTTCAGAATGTTAAATAAAAGCCCTTTAATTGCTTGTATGAGATTCATACTTTAATTGTGCTACTGTTTCATTGACATGTACTGCGGAAAGCCTGTCTTCTGATTTAAACTATGAGTTTATCCTTTGTTCTGTGCACTAAGTCATTTTACATTGTTAGAAATCCTGCTCTTGGCAATCAGGCTTTGAATGGTAGAATTGGCTTTATCTCCTGTCTCTAGACACCTGAACGTGTTCTATTAGAAAATGTTTTGCTTTGTGTTTTCCAGCTGCTGAGAAGTGCTGTGCTGTGATGTCAACTCATATTGTTGCCTGCTTGTTATTGTATCGCTATCGGAAGGTGAGCAATGCATGATAAAATTTAGCACATAAATCCCCATTTACATTCCCTTTAGATTCACTGCTTATTTTCACCCTGCAGAGAAATTTGTTTTTCTGCTTCAGCTTCCTTCTCATCCTCCGCATCTCGGGTTCCGGCTGAAATGCCTTGTGTGTGGATGTATGTATCTATATTACATATGTATACACACACACACGCAAGTATTGGGACACCTGACATCGCATTCTAAATACATAGACATTAATATTTAGGTGGCCCCCTCATTGAAGCTACAACAGCTCTCACTCTTCTGGGAAGTCTTTCCACAAAATTGTGGAGTTTTTCATCAGGAATGTTTGCCTATTCATCCAGGAGAACATTTGTGGTCAGACACTGATGTTGGATGAGAAGGCCCCGCACGCAGTCTCCGTTCCAATTCATCCTAAAAGGGATTGATGGGGTTTAGGCCAGGGCTCTGTGCGAGCCAGTCAAGTTGTTCCACATCAAACTAATCCAACCATGTCTTTATGGACCTCGCTTTGTGCACTAGGGCACATTCATGCTGGAATAGAAAATGGCCTTCCCCAAACTGTTCCCACAAAGTTGGAAGCATATTGTTGACCAAAATGTCTTGGTATGTTAAAACATTTAGATTTCCCTTCACTGGAAGTAAGGGGCCTAGCAAAACCCCTGAAAAACAGCCCGATACCATTATCCCTCCTCCACCAAACTTTATAGTTGGCACAGTACAGTCAGGCAGGTAATGTTCTCCTGGCATCCGAGAAACCAGTCTTGCCCATCAGACTGCCAGAGAAGCGTGATTCGTCACTCTACTGAACACGTTTCCACTGCTCCAGAGTCCAGTGACGGCCGGCTTTACTCCACTTAATCTGACTCTTGGCATTGTATTTGGTCATAAGCTCCCTCCGAATATTTTTCCTACTAATATTAATGCCAGTGGAAGCTTGTAACTCTCCAGCTATGGAATCAGGAGAGTTTTGGTGACTTTTTCGCACCATGCGCTTCAGCACTCGTTGATCCGCTCTGTGACTTTACGTGGTTTTCCACTTCATTGCCGGGTTGCTGCTGTTCCTAAATGCTTCCACTTTTCAATAACACTGCTTACAGTTAACCCTGGGATATCTAGCAGGGATGACATTTCACAAACTGACTTATTCAAAAGGTGGCATCTTATCACAGTACCACACTTGATTTCACTGAGCTCTTCAGAACAACCCATTTTTCATTTTTACAAATATTTGTAACTGCAGACTGCATGTCTAGATGCTTGATTTTATACACCGGTGGCAAAGGGTTGGAGTTGTGTCCCAATACTTCTGTCCATATAGTGTGTATGTATATGTGTATGTGTGTATATATATATATATATATATATTGTTAATTGACTATCATGTCTACTTTTTGTGACAGAAATTACCTTTCTGCTTCTATGCCAAAATGTCAGACTTTGTTTAAAATATAAAAGATAAGGCATACCATACAGCCTTTAAATAATGTTTGACCCCCTCCTATATTTCTGTAAAATATGAACATATATGACTCATCATGCTTTTTTTGCAGGGGGTTACTCTTTCGCTTTTGGTGGAAGATTTTTTCTCCATGAAAGAGGAGGTATTGTCCAGGGACTTTGACCTGGGTTTTTCAGGCAGTTCTGAAGATGTGGTTATGCATGCCATCCACCTTCTGGCTAATTCGGTGAACATCAGCCACACTGCCCACGGCAATGAGTTCTTCATTGCGCCCAACACTGGCATTCCCGCTGTGTTCGAGTTAAATTTTTATAGTAACGGAGTCCTGCATGTTTACATCATGGAAGCGATTGTTGGTAAGAATTGCCTTAATGTAATCAGGACATTTTCTACTCTAAATTTTAGTTTTTATGCATTTGACTGTAGATTTAAGCTCATCTGCCGTAAACTCATTTGTGAATCATCTCACCAGCTGAACTGTAGAAGACAGTCTGTTACATTAGATTATTTAAAGACCCTACCCTAACCTAACTAAGACCCTAATGTCTGGGTCTTAGTAGAGCTGGTTGCCAAAACGTAGATCTTCAGTAGTTGCAGAACTCCAATGCTGATGATGTTTTGTCACCTTAAAGGGTTACTCCAAGTACCATGACCACTTCAGTGATTTGATAAAAAATGCTGGACATACAGAGTTTAACCCGTTTTGCCAACAACAGTTCTGGGTTGACTTCTGTCCGTTCTGTGCATGTTTTTCGTTTGTTCAGTGTACATTACATGCGGGTGACAGACAGCCAATAGCAGTGTGGCCCTTCTCTCCATAACTCTTTGCAGTTTGCAAAGCTTCATGGATGTTGTAGTTGTGCAAAAGTTGATGGTCTTCCTTATGATCAATCCTGCTGTATAGGGCCTTGCTAATGCTAAATGAGTAGGACATGAAATGAGTCTAGTAACTCTAAAGACCAATTTGTTAGGGTGACACAGAGAATAATTGTTTAAAAGTTAAAAAGTATGTTCGAGTGTCTGATCTGTCATAAAGATAAGAAACTGCTAATACAAGGTAAGCGGTCAATGGAGCTGGCCGGTGATGGTGTTTTTTTGTTTTTTTTTGCTGCCCTCTTGTGTTTCAGCCTGCGCACTGCATGTTGAACTTCGAAGGAGAAATCTGGAAGGTTCACCTGATGCCTCCAGCTTTGCTGTCAGTCAGGAGAGACTCATCCGAACAGCAGCCAACTTGTGCTATCTCCTATCTAACGAAGTTATCCTAGCTCTGGTAAGGTTAGACAGGTGGAGCCACCAGATGGATCTGAATAATCCAAGAAATCGCCCCATGTTACTCCTAAAAACTGTTAGAATTATCTGTAGAAATCTATTGTTATTCTCCTGAAACCCTGATCTCCGATATCAGATATGTGTTTATGGTACCTGCTTTTCGGGGTGCTATTTCTAACTGGTGCTTCTTAGTGCTATGCCCAAAAACTGGCCAGTATTCTAGAATTTACTGATCTCCACATTCAGATAGAACTCCCTTAATCCTGCACCTGTTTTTCTCCTGAGTCTTTCAACCATCCTTTCAATCGAGTGAGATTGTGTTTCATCTAGGATTAGTCACACTCCTCCAGCAAAAAAATAAAGACCTCACAAGATAACTAATTTCAAAAAACTTGTAAAATTGTATGTACTTCTTTGTAAGTTTACAATTTACAAACGGCAATCCTATAATTTACTCTTTGAGAGCTTAGACACTGAATATCCACCAGGGGGCATTCTGACACAGGTCCTGATTTTTATAGAGAGATAACAAGACATAATAAACAGATTCCAAAACAATAAGCTGTACAATGCCCTGCTGTTTGATTATTTTTATATATATATATATATATATGTTGATTGGTAATCTAATTGCCTTTGCACTAAACAAGTTGGCATTTTATCTGCTATATGAGATAATATCGATATAGGGTGGCAATGAGTAATTTCTGTAATCGCTCCACGCCTATAGAATCCCACACAAGGGACTAATGCGAGGAGGGGTGGGGGGGCGGGGGGGGTGGGTGATTTAGTTTCTTCTCTCTTCTACACATGTATTCAGTGTTGTCTGATGCCTTTTTGTTTTTCAGCCTTGTCAGATGTATTATCAAGTTTGTCATGAGGCTGTGCAGCGGTTAATCACATGCGGAATCATCCTGGTTGCAGAGGTGAGACCTGCACCCCATATTTCACAGATGGGTTTGAGAGGATTGGCAGGGAAGAGGAGGCATTTAATTCAGTCAGCCGTTACAGCTTTGTTACGGTCTCGGTGCTCGCTTTGTGCAAGCCCAAAGCAACTGGAGAATTTGTCTCTCTGTGAAAACCTTATCAGCCATAAATCTTCAGCTGAGATCCGAGTAGAGACCAGAATGTGTAATAACGAAACCGAAACTGTATTTGACACAGAAGCTTTTTGCAAATGCATTATTAGCAATTGTCTTCCAGTTGATTTAAGGAGATAAATAATTGTCTTAGCAATACGTATTGGCCGTAGACCGGGATGGATGTAGCAACAACTGGTATGGGATGACTTTTAATGGTTTTAATGATGAAAGTAATATAAGTTTGTGGTTTATTTAATTTCTTTTTTTTTTTCTCTCTTCTTTATTTAGGAAGACCAGGAGGACGGAAGCCCCAATTCTGCTGAGAACGCGTGGGAAAACAAGCTTCCTAATCACCTGCCTTGGAGGAATGAAGATGAGGATGAAGACAGTGATTTTGGAGAGGAGCAAAGAGATCGATATTTAAAGGTAACACATGCAAGTCATATGGTACATATTGGCGTGTTGGCAAGAGTCCACGCTCTTTGTAACTAGAACTTCTTCACAGAACTATCTAAAGTGGAAATATTTAAATACTAAACAAAGATTATCAATTTTGTAAGCATGAATAGGCTTCATTGCTTCCTACGCTGTTTATATTTATATTTTGTAATAAGAAAACGAATAAAGTGTTCCAAAAAAACACAATGTGTCATTGTTTGGGATCTAATAAAATTCAATATTTAGTTAACTAATGACATACATATAACTTAAATAATTACAAACACCGGCAATAACGAACAAATATCAAACCTTTACATTAGCCTGATTTCCGATACAGACATTAACAAACAAATACCAAACATTTATGTGGAATACTGAATTTACTAAAATAGTACAGAACATGTTTGTAGCAACATTAATAAAATAAACTCAAAGAGCAACATAGTTCAAATCCATGCTAAATCACATGGTGGGAAACTCCGATAATTAAAATGTCTTTCATTAATGTCTGGTCATATAAGCTTTATGGCATTTCACACTCAGTCGTTTCCATCATATAGTATAGCTGGTGTTGCACGCATCATGTATAATATGCGTTAATTACCCATGTTCTCCGGGAGATCTCATTCCCTGAGGATATTGTACAGAGTGTGTATTTTTTACACGTTAGTGGATTATTGCATGTGAGGCTGTATGTTGGTGCTTTTTCAGTAAACTTCCCATGTTCCGTGGGTGAGCTCATTGCATGTTATGTTTTGTGCATGGTGCATGTGATGCTGTGTGTGTCATATATAACATGTGCATTAAATCCCTATGTTCCCCAGGTGAGCTCATTGCCAGAACACCAGCAATATGTTATGTTCCTGCGGAGGCTCCTAGGTCCAATTCTTGAGGCTTACAGCTCTGCCGCTTCCTTTATTCACAATTTTGAGGGTCCGGTTTCGGAGAAACAATACACGCAGAGTCTGCACAGATATTTAATCGCCAGGACCGAGAAATCTGTTGCTGTTTATGGTAAGTTAGTGCGGCTGTCTCCGTTCTGTAGACCTGAGACATCTAAATCTAAAAACTCTCATAGCCTAACAGGACAGGTGTTTTCTGCCAAGTGAATGTACCCTTTGCCAGTCTTACTACAGCTCAACCTGTTCTGTTTTAGAACTATCCCATAATGCCGCTCTCCTACTGGTGTTGGATTTTAACTCCCATTACCTTCAGCCTTTTCTGAAACAAATTCTCAGTTTATCTGTAGTAGCAGGCAGCTTGACTTGTTTTGCATAACATTTGCAAATTTAATTTCCAGTTCACTAAAATGTATTGTTTACCGTAAACTCCCTTGGTTTATGTGGTGACGGAGAGGAGAAGGGGAGAATATAGATTTATAATGATCCAATTTATTGGATTTCTCAACTCAAATTTTAAATTCTTGGGTTGGGAGGATTTGGTCTTTTGATGATGAACATGGATATATTTCTTTATGAAATTTTGGGAAAAAATATAGGAATTTGCCAAGCTGTAATATTAGCTATATTGGATAATTTTTCCAGATCTGCTATTGTCACTTACATTTTCCAATTTAATGAAAACACGCATTTTAGGGTTACCGGTGGTTTGCGACCCAAAGGAGGTCATCCTTTCAAAATGTTCTACTTAGTAGAAACAAAATTAGGAAGGTTTTGCTAAAATGCTTATCATACTTCGCAAATAGAAAGTATAAAAACTCTTGTTTTTTTTTGTTATTCTGATATAAGTATACAATTCTGTTACCTGTTTGATTATTGATAATGTTGTTACAACATAAATGGTTTCCCCAACTACTCTTGTAAGGAGCGTGCTGTAGTGTAGAGCCTGGCTCTGACACTCCAGACTTCCAAACACTGCTGATATTTGTATTTTCTATGCATAGGCCCTTGGTAAAAAATAAATAAAATGGTTTTGATTTAAAAAAAAACAAAAAAAAAAAAAAACCTTTAAACAACCCATAAATTGGTGTGCAATATCAATTAAAACAGTGCACACAATTATCTTGCAATTTATCTCTCGCCAATTAAAACACATTTTAAAAAAACTACTTTTGTCACCAGCTGTTGTGTAAAATAATGTATTTGTGTAGCTGTCAAGAGAAAAAAAAAAAAAGGGGAGGATTTTTTTTATTAACTTTAAGGACAATATGTGTTAAATGTTCTTTTAAAAAAAAAAAAAAAGTTAAAATCTGAATTCATTAAAAGTTTTCAGAATGTAATTTTTTTTTTTTATTATTATTATTATTATCACCGATTATTTACTGTTTCTTTTTCCCTTGCAGCGGAAAGCGCCACGCTGTGTCTTGCTAAAAACGCTGTGAAAATCTTTGTGGATCTTGGGGTAAATCTATTTTAAAACTTTTTTTGCTCAAGTGAGATGTAATATTGCTGCATATTATTTATTAAATTCTTTCCTTAGTGACATTATCCCAATGGAAATGTACCATTTCTGTGATCTATTTTGGAATTGACGTTCACAGTTTCATTTTAAAGACGAAGTCTATGTGAACAAAGGCTTATAAGTTTTATAGAATAATTTTGTTTTTGTTCTTGAGCTGTACGCCTTTGCATCTGAAAATAAATGAAAACTAGTATTGGCGGAGAAAACTTGGTCCCATCCTAATCTCTGCAGTCCTTATGGATTCACATCACACACTGGTCATTCTAAGGTGTATATGACATTATCATCATGATGCATTAAATAGAAAGCTCATCTTCTGTTTGGAGTTATTCAAGGAAGTGTATATACTGACATCTGATCAGACCCTTCCCAAGTTCACTACTGATAAAATGCAATGCCTTTTAACCATGTAGGTTGTTAAAGGATCTTAACATGTATAGCTTGGAGGAAAGACGAGACGGGGGGATATGATAGAAACATTTAAATTCATAAAGGGAATCAACACAGTAAAGGAGGAGACTATAATTAAAAGAAGAAAAACTACCACAACAAGAGGACATAGTCTTAAATTAGAGGGGCAAAGGTTTAAAAATAATTTCAGGAATTATTACTGAGAGGGTAGTGTATGTGAGAAAACAAGGGGTTGGCTGCACTCACCTGAACATGCTTAAATGGGGTGCTGCTGGGGGCCAATAATAAACAAGCCAATAAGTACAGTAAAAATGAAAATCCAGTGCATTCCCTTATCTACTTTGGTGCTGACCGACTTTGCTAGCTTTATTAAAAACACCTAATCTAGGCAAAAAATAATGGGGGATTAGTTACATTATATGATTATACATTGCATAAGCCTGCCACAACGTCAATGTACCCCATCTTTGGCAGGTCCTACTTTAACAGCCAAATGTCTGCTAAATGAGCTACTTACGTGTGGAAATACTTCCATATCGAGTTCTCTGCAGTACAAGGCTAAATAGGGCCCTGGGATGAGGCACCTGTGACAGGGAGGGGTGCAAAACCAAGGAGCTGGCTAGACTCCTAAAAAAAATAAAATAAAATAAATAATAATAAAAAAAATATATATACAGTTGCAAGAAAAAGTATGTGAACCCTTTGGAATGATATGGATTTCTGCACAAATTGGCCATAAAATGTGATTTGATCATCATCTAAGTCACAGCAATAGACAATCACAGTCTGCTTAAACTAATAACACACAAAGAATGAAATGTTGCCATGTTTTTATTGAACACACCATGTAAACATTCACAGTGCAGGTGGAAAAAGTATGTGAACCCCTAGACTAATGACATCTCCAAGAGCTAATTGGAGTGAGATGTCAGCCAACTGGAGTCCAATCAATGAGATGAGATTGGAGGTGTTGGTTGCAGCTGCCCTGCCCTATAAAAAACACACACCTGTTCTGGGTTTGCTTTTCACAAGAAGCATTGGCTGATGTGAATGATGCCTTGCACAAAAGAGCTCTCAGAAGACCTACGCTTAAGAATTGTTGACTTGCATAAAGCTGGAAAGGTTTATAAAAGTATCTCCAAAAGCCTTGAGGTTCATCAGTCCACGGTAAGACAAATTGTCTATAAATGGAGAAAGGTCAGCACGGCTGCTACTCTCCCTAGGAGTGGCCGTCCTGTAAAGATGACTGCAAGAGCACAGCCAGACTGCTCAATGAGGTGAAGAAGAATCCTAGAGTGTCAGCTAAAGACCTACAAAAGTCACTGGCAAATGCTAACATCCCTGTTAGCGAATCTACAATACGTAAAACACAAAACAAGAATGGATTTCATGGGAGGATACCACAGAGGAAGCCACTACTGTCCAAACAAAACATTGCTGCACGTTTACAGTTTGTACAAGAGCACCTGGATGTTCCACAGCAGTACTGGCAAAATATTCTGTGGACAGATGAAACCAAAGTTGAGTTGTTTGGAAGAAACACACAACACTATGTGTGGCGAAAAAAAGGCACAGCACACCAACATCAAAACCTCATCCCAACTGTGAAGTATGGTGGTGGGGGCATCATGGTTTGGGGCTGCTTTGCTGCGTCAGGGCCTGGACAGATTGCTATCATCGAAGGAAAAATGAATTCCCAAGTTTATCAAGACATTTTGCAGGAGAACTTAGCGCCATCTGTCTACCAGCTGAAGCTCAACAGAAGATCATTGTTGCAACAGGACAATGACCCGAAGCATAGAAGTAAATCAACAACACAATGGCTTAAACAGAAGAAAATACGCCTTCTGAAGTGGCCCAGTCAGAGTCCTGACCTCAACCCGATTGAGATGCTGTGGCATGACCTCAAGAAAGCGATTCACACCAGACATCCCAAGAATATTGCTGAACTGAAACAGTTCTGTAAAGAGGAATGGTCAAGAATTACTCCTGACCGTTGTGCACGTCTGATCTGCAACTACAGGAAACGTTTGGTTGAAGTTATTGCTGCCAAAGGAGGTTCAACCAGTTATTAAATCCAAGGGTTCACATACTTTTTCCACCTGCACTGTGAATGTTTACATGGTGTGTTCAATAAAAACATGGCAACATTTCATTCTTTGTGTGTTATTAGTTTAAGCAGACTGTGATTGTCTATTGTTGTGACTTAGATGATGATCAGATCACATTTTATGACCAATTTGTGCAGAAATCCATATCATTCCAAAGGGTTCACATACTTTTTCTTGCAACTGTGTGTATGTGTGTGTGTGTGTGTGTATATATATATATATATATATATATATATATATATATATATATATATATATATATATATATATATATATATATATATATATATATATATATAAACAAGGGGTTGGCTGCAGAGAGGGTAGTGTATGCATGGAATAGCCTTCCAGCTGAAGTGGTAGAGGTTAAAACAGTAAAGGAGTTTAAGAATGTGTGGGATAGGCATAAGGTTATCCTAGATCTACGATAAGGCATGGGACTAATACAAATATTAGAAAGTTGGGCAGACTAGATGGGCCGAATGGTTCTGATCTGCCGTCACATTCTATGTTTCTAGTCCTTCTGCATAAACTAGATTGACCAGAGACATGGCAGAGAAATAACTTTCTTTGTTGGGTGAAGAACCACACAGAGGATGTCATACGGTTTTACAAAAATACTTTTTGGTTTTCAGTGCTTAGAAAAAAAAAGTGAAATCACGTATAATGTATACAAGAGGTTGGAAAGGGAAAGAGTTAAACCAAACAGTTTTTATATAAAATATATAGCTGGTAAATTTTTGTTCCTAGAACACATGATGCCATTACAGGAGAACAGTTGACAACATAATACAAAGCTTTTTAAGCAGAATCTGAATAGGTCTTAAATACATTTAGCATAAGTGCAAAAATGCAACTTCCTCTTCTTAGAGCATAACATATTACTGTACTCATTTAGTGCGCAAGCTGCATTCCGCCATTACCAAGGCAACGCAAACCTCTTTTAATAGCAATAACATGTTTTTCCATGTCAGACCTAATGACCCATAAATGAACTTGTATTTCATGGCTTGTTCTTCCCATGAAATGGCTAATTTGGGTAATCTATACATTTACTGCCTGCTATTCTATGTCACAAATATATTTAAAATGCAATCTATGAATAATTTAATCTATAGATCTTTTATTTTTCCTAGTATGTCTACTAGGCTACATTGGAAGTAAATAGAAAATGTAAAACAGATACAGATAATTTAGTCCATAAAATAGAAATAAAAAGCTACTTCATTTTGAAGTTCCTACATTTCCAGGATTTGCAACTTCTACAGTAAGTCAAGAGGCCAACATGTTCCCAGCCAATCATGGTGCTATTATTATTATTATTATTATTATTATTATTATTATTATATTTAATAAACTCCTGCACATCAGGGAACCTTACAGGAGTGATGCAGAGATGGACATGGTCTTTAGGACTATTCATTTATAAACATAAAAAAATGAAAGTGTAACTCTCAGATTGCGTATTAGTGCCTAGAAGGTCCCAAAATGTTTTATGAGTGCAATGTACTTTGAATTTTAGTGCAACCCTGGTTGTGATCTATTTTCTTTTCTTGTTTTGGGGCCTGAGGGATGGGGGAGTTGTGTTTTCTGGCAGTATTACAAAACGGTGTATTTTTTCTTCTCTTGTAGGTTTTCCAAGTCCATAAAGAAGGCAGAGATTCTCTGTTGGACTTAAGCAGCACATTCCTACCTCAAGGCAACCGGTACAAGCTCTTAGAGTACATCATGAGCTTCATGGAGCTGTAGGTTAGCGCAGCCGATCTGGTACTGGGAACCTGCTGTGAATATCCATTGATGAACACCATGCACTGACAGACAAGTGCCTTGCCGCCAGTTTCATCCATCCTCCTGCCTGTAGCGGCTGAAGAATGGAAGTGAAATGACTTGTGCAACATGCAAAAAAAAAAAAAATCCCAAAAGGACCAGCGTTCCTGACCCAAAAGACCCGTATCAACTAGTTTATTTTTTCTTTGAAATCATTATTTATGCCCCGGCGACCCGTGTTTCTTATGTTATACCTGGAAGCAGTAACAACGTATTTGCAATTTTTTTTTTTTTTATTATTATTATTATTTTTTTTTTTTTTAAATAAGTTTGCATTGTATTTGTTTGTTTTGGTCTTACCATACATTTCAGATTTGTAGTTACTTGTTCATTTTAGTTACGATGCCATTGTAGAAGTCACTACAGTCAATACTAGAGTCAGGCTAGGAACATGGCGACTGGCGTCTCATGACATTGGTAACATGATTGTGGGAAGTGACCAGTGGAGGGAAACAGATTCTCTTTTTTTCTATTGTCTTGAAATCTCCATCACTTTACAAAGTTCTAACCAAGACGGACACTATATAAATCCAAATTGCAACATTAAAAAGCGATTGCTAAATCTCACTATAACCAGTCACTCTCCCTCACCCACCATTATAATTTTGCATTCTAGATTCCAGTTTTCCCATAAGTTAAAGAACTGTTTCTTCTTTTTGCTAATGTCTCATACTGTCACAGAGCTTTACATGGTCAGAATTTTATATACAATTGTGAGTGGGGAAAGCAATTTCCATTTACACTCTTCATTTCTTTTTGATTCATAACCACAATGCACTTAAGAACATATAGGAATAGCTCCCACTGTCTATTGTAAAATGAATGGCATCCGAGATATCTTCTCTTTTGTCGCAATATTTACATTTTATTCCTACAAGTAGCACAATTGGTGTTTGAACTGGGTGAAACAGGAACCTTCTGGCAAATATCTCTCAAACTCCAAATATCATTTTAAAATGCTGCTCTACACAAGTATTGATTAGGGCTCTTCTGTGTGAGCACCTGTGGATTGGGGGGTGGGGGGTAATCATTGGTATGTGACGCAGAAGTTGTGAGTTTAGGGATTGAATGATGTAGTTTATGTTAGAAATGTTCTCTTCTTGTGTTTGTGTTCTAAAACCATATATAATACAGAATGCACACTATAACAACCACAGTTGTCAAGTACAAAAAACTTTAATAAGTAGGCAAATAACAGTAAATAACAACATGTGACAAATCGTAATCAAGAGTAATTTACCCCAAACTCCCCCAACGTTTCAGCACCAACTGGTTGCCTTTATCAAGGCACCCTTGTTGTTATAGTGTGCATTCTGTATTCTATATGGATCTTTGTATTTAAGCACTTGACGGAGTGCTTATATGGTTTGCACCTGGCTTTTTGTGACTATTAATTTGTCTCTCCATGTGGTTTTGGTTTATATACTGTGTTCTAAAACCACTCATATCTAGGAGCCCATCATGTATTAATGTCATGATTACATAAGTAGTTTGTGTTAAGAAAGGTTTTAACATTCGCCTCCTTTGTTGATTGTTACATTGCAATGGTTTACCTTGGTCGATTTCATTTCTGTTTTTAGGTCTTGCTGCTTATACCCACAGAAGATCGGGTTATTACAGTGGTGCTGGTCCGTTTGCTCCTTGAAAAACTCCACAAATTTCAATTTTTCGACAAACGTGAGAGTAAAGTTTTATTCATAAGTAAAGCCCCAGGACAGCTGATTTTAGCCTCTTATGGCTTATTCAGAAGACCCTAAACAGAAGGACCTTGTTTGTTCCGTAAATTAGGAATTGGGTGAATTGAAATATCAATTTTAACATTTTTAGTAAAAATAATAATTTTTTGTCACCTTGGCTTTCAGTTTTTTTTTGCTTTAAACTATTTCTGTTATAAGCCATGCATTCATGTTGCTATGCAGAATGTAATAGAATGTGTTGAGAATGACACCATTTGTGCTCTCAGGGTTAATATATCCACCAGTTGTTATGGATTGACTGTCCTGTGAGATGAGGATCCTCACTGCTCTTTTTGCTTTTAAGTAATTTCACACACTAGCTGCCTATTTTAATTCTTGTAGTTCCATATGTGACCAGTGAGGTCGACGGGCATAAAACAGTCTAATCCCTAGCACTTTATGGTATCTGTATCCCGATAAACACTTATACCCCTTATATGTCTGGCATTCAAAACATATTTTGTAGAGATTGTTTGTTTCTTAGTTTGTTAAAGAAAAAAAAGACTACTTATCCAATATTCTGCAAAGCCAGTGACAGCAATAATGTGTGGATCTGCTCATGGTCATTCACTAAGATTTACATCACATGGCAGGACTGAGTATTGAAATGAAAGGGACACCATAACAACTTCAACTGTTTGAAGTGATTATAGTGCTGGAAGTCCTCAGACTCTTGGTCCTGCATCATTTTACTCACCCTCTGGCAGAGGTGCTTTGTCTCTGGCAATCTGCATCCCTACCACCAGTGATGATTTGGCAAAGTTGGGGTTACACTTTACCTCACATCATAGCAGAGGAAGCAAGCAGTGATAGGCTGTGATACCCTGATGTGAATTGGAGCAGAACTCCACCTTTGCCATATTGCATTTGGTGAGCAAGGCTGCTGAGGGTCTGAGCCTCTCTGCTAAATGGTACATATACCATTCAAGGGTGCTATGAGATTTGGTGCACACAGACTCCAGACACCATCACTTCAGTCACTTGACCCTGGCCTGTTGGTGTCTCTTGAAGACTTATTTGGGAACCATTGCTGTAAAAGATGCTCTTCTCACTAAGCCAAGTCTATGCATGGAAGCTCCCAGTACCACAGTGTCACCTTGTGGTTAAAGTGAGAATTTCAAGTTCAAGGCCAGAGCAGCCGAAACTGAAAGCAAATCTGACTTAGAGAATTTTTCTAGTTCGGCTATTTTGAACTTACATTTTAATGCACTTTGAATTCACCTTGAATTCTCACTTTAGTGCATAACCCTTTGTGATGTGATGTGATTCTGTGGGTGACTAGATTTGCCTATGTATACAAACAAAATGCATCACACGCAATCCTACAAAATGTTGGGAGCACCCATTTTTTTTTTTTTAAGCAAAACATCTATGCACTTGCTACCATAATTAATTGCTAAGTAAAATATTTTGACCATTTGAGCTGTGGTAATTCTACAGATAGGAATTGATGCACTCTGCCATTTGGAAGCTGCATACAATTAAGCATCTGGGGAACAAGTAGCTTTGTACACCTTAGGATTAATCGAACTCCTATGTCTGTCTCTAATTTTAAATGCCTTGGCCCTAGAATCCTACTTGAGTGAAGCTCTATATTGTGTTACATTCAGTAGAACTTGCAATGATTTTGAACATCTAGTGCCAAAATGGTAAAATGAAAAAAAACAAAGTGCTACCATCAGAAATACGAGAGGGAAATAAGTTAATATTGGCACTGTAAGGGTTATAAGAGTAAGAGATGAGGTTTATGGATGTTAAAAAATGTTTACGGTTAGTGGTACAATAATCTCTTTTGATGTGATTACATTATTAACCCACTGTTGTGAGTACTAAAAAATTGTGCCCACGCAGAAACAAATGTAAACTTGTATAAACTTATATCTCTACAGTAGTTTAATGAGCTCTAAGATATAGTACAGCTCATTGTATGGTAGCCTGTGTGCTGTCTCAACACTTAACCTATGCTGCTAATCCAAATCAGGTGATACAAATATAAGGTGCTTATGAAATGTATATTGTGCATCTGGAAACAAGCAATGCTGCCGCAAACAAAATACAAGCAATAACATTGTACTAAACTAGACTAAAATGACTTGTCATTAATTGTAATCTAATCTAAGCAGTTGCTGTAGCCAGTTTGGTTCCATTATTCTAATTGTAGTCCACAATGAACGGCATGGGATTGCTGAATTTCTATGCATTTTTATTTCTGCATCGCTTTGTAGCAGTTTTTAAGCTGTCAGAAATGTACTTCTTTGTTAGCTTTCAATAGAGCCTTTTAGAAAAAATGTATCTTAATCAGGTTTGTAAAGTCCTCTAAACAGCAGTTACAAGATGGACGTCTGTAGAAAATACTATGAATGGAATTCAATGCTGGTATCAGTCACACAAATCAATTGAATTTAAGGCATTTATTTATTTAGCGTAACCCTCTAAAACACCGCACTACTGGTTAAAAACACCCATCAGCTATTAAATGTTTCACATCTAGACACCCAGGTGACTTGGCCTCCTTGAATTGGGTCTACTCTTTTCCCAAGTTTATCAATGGCCACTAAAACTATTTTCTAAGGCCAAAATGCACAGCATGTACGATCTGACCAGCATTGACTCAACCCTTGTGGTTACATCACTGAAATGAACTAATTACATTAAAACATAAGGGATCTGCAAGACCCCCACCTTTATCATAAGAACCCCATGATAAATTCCATTCTGGACTCCACCAGAACTTCCAGTTTCCAAACCCAGTCATTAAAAATTAGAACACAAATATCTGTTTAGGTGGAACTGTTACTTCTGGAATGACATCATTGAATAAAACATTGAAAATTACCTAGAATGTGTGTTTTGTTTTTTATGTGTGGTGCTCCATGTAAATATTTAGCAAATTACATCACAATCCAGTTCAGTCCTGACACAGTCAGGACAAAATTGCAAATGAGGAGAAATAGAAGCATTTTCATTATTCCTCATCTCTATATGCTTCCTCAATGCTACTTGATAGATGCAAAGGACAGAGTTTCTGTCTCCCTTGTCAAGCTCATGAGCTACTTTGGCTTCCAATATCATCTCTATGCGGACTATTGGTCCTCTCCTGATCTCTCGCTGTCCATCGACTCGTGTCTCTGACTGCCTCTGCTATTTCTAACTGGATTTAGGCTAATTTCCTTAAGCTTAATCTGTTCAAAACAAAACTTGTCTTTCCTCTCTCAAGTGTTGCTATTCCTGTTTCTGTTTCCCTCCAAGTCAACAGTGCTACCATCAGTGGTACCTCACAGGCTCGCTGCCTAGGTGTTCTCTTCAACTCCAACTTCTCCACCCTTCATGTCCAGTCGATCGACAAAACCTGCCGCTTCCACCTTAAAAAACAAAATGCACATCCGCCACTATTTAATGCTGGTCTATGACGATATTCTTTCTCATCTTAATTATTGCATTCCGCTTCTCTGTGGTCTTACGTGTTCCCAACTTTCCCTGTTACAGTCTATAACAGGGAACACCTCCCCCCCACTTTTCTACCCTACCCTTTCCTTTTGTGTTACTATACCCCACTCCTTCTAGCATATAAACTCATTGAGCAGGGCCCTCAATGCTCTCTGTTCCTGTGCATCCAACTTGTCTGGTTACAACTACATGTCTGTTAGTCCACATACTGTACAGCGCTGCGGACTTTGGTGGCGCATTATAAATAATAACAATGATTGGCATGGAGCAAAGATGGAGGGACCTAGTTCCAGGATAATTAAATGTATATTTCCAAATTTAAATGTAATTTTCACTCTTTGCAAATATATATTTGTTAAATATAAGGCTGAGTAAACATAGTATTTAAAATTCTGTGGAGTCACAGTTTCCTTTTAATTACTCTCCCTTAAATATTCCCTGGCTAATGGCGAGTGTAAATGTTAGCCCTACTCTTGGCACTATAGCCATTTCGTGTAATTGAATTGGTCATAGTGGCTGAGGTACCTCCTTCATTCAATTGACAAAGCCTTTCAATCAAATGTTAACTTTCTTGTTCTTAAATGTATCTCCTACTCTGTAAACTGAACTTTACTCACATACAGGAATCTCCTGTGGGGTCTAGCAAGTTATTAACAGACTAGGGGGATACAAAATTTTAAATCAAACAGAATTTGCAATAAAGGAAGTGCAAACATGAGATTACATTTTGCAGGAAGTGTTTAGGAAGGCTGTGTAAGTCACGTGCAGAGAGGTGTGACTATGGCTGTATAAACAAAGTTATTTAACTCACATATGGAAGAGAATTGAACAGTGAGACTGCAGGGGCACGATCTATACACCAAAACGTCTTAGTTATGCTAAAGTTGTTTTGGTGACTCTAGTGTCCTTGTAAATCATTAAAAAACAGTTTAACGTTGAACAGAAGGACGGTGCCAGGGCACTCCAGAGACTATAACTTTTTCAATAAAATGAAGCCATTTAGATGTCCACCGTTCCCTTTAATGTTTCTATGGATTATTTAGTTGCCTTTGCCATTTGGTAAGAAAGCATTTAAAATGATATACTAGCAGGATTGATTAACCTGACCAGAATCAATTTAATCTCACAAAACTATCATCAGCTTGAATGTATGACCCTGTTGCCATCGAAACTTCTAATAAAATGCATTCTCCAGTTCACAAAACTTAGACCTGCCCCCAGTAAAAAAAATATAAAAAAAGAACAAAATCATGTTATGAATTTAAAAATAATAATAATAAAAAAAAAATCTATTTTATATGTATCTTCAATAGAAAACACAAGGCACTATTGACTTTCTGCATCTAAACATTGAGGTTTTCTAACCTGAAGCTATTAATGGCTGAACGCAGCACACAGACACCCAAATTCACTTAAACCGAATAGCTATCGATAAAGCTTTTAATCTGACGCCGCTGGTTTCACAGATTTGGATCCTGCATTGAATTTACATAAAGAATAAGTTAAATAGCATCCATCCAATCTTTCAGACCACAATTAGGTTTAACGTTGGCCATTGGCAATAATTCAATTTTGAAGCTTTCTATTCCTTGTTTAACAGCACTTTTCATTTAATTTGTTTATTTTGTGCCCGAAGTGAGGTTGCGCTCAAGCTGTGGAAATAAGGAAGCCAAATTGACAAGAAATAGGGATATTCACAGATGTTCTCTAATTAGACATGGCTGCAAAGAAACTTTGCTGAAAACAGGATCGAGAGGTCAATTACGCTTAATAAAAAAAAAACTGTAGAATATTTTCTGTCAGTTGATTTATTATTTTAAAATGCATTCAAAAGAAAGGTTTAATTGGCCGAGAGATATAACCAGGTCAAAATGGCGTAAACACATTTCATTTTCAGTTGTCAGCATTCATTGCAACTGAGATTTGATGAGTTGACTCCAGATCATTTTACTAGTGATGTCACAATATGTGATACATACAATCTGCAGGTCGGGTTCTTTGAGCAAATAGAGTTATGAAATAGGAGTTAACAGGAGCTGGTATGCCAAGTATGAATGACAAGATACTTGTCTGAATCTAAATTTAATCTATTGCTAATTAGGGTCTTCTAAACATATTGGGAGTGGTATTTTTATATATATAATCATATCAAAACTTTATATGTAATAATATGTAATGTAATAACTTTGGATAAAATATGAAAAAATAAAATGTATTGCTTTATTGGAAGCCCTTGCCTGGGATCAGCTGTGGATCCTTTGAAGTATTAATTACCTTGAAGAAACTGTAATATGCAAAGTAGCTTTAGAAAAACTAACCAAAAATTCTAAATTATAGAGGAGCCTGTTGATCCTATTGTAAATGCATTATATTCAAAGGGAAAACGTAGGCCTCTAATATTGTTGTCTAAGCATTTCAAATTAGTTGTTTTAAATTAAATATATATTTTATGTATGGCATAAAAGTTATCCAGAAATATTAAATCATTTGAAAAGATTATCCAACATTATTAAATTGTGGCTTAAACTGGTATGCTAAGTTTCAGCAGAAATGTTAAATTAAATGGTATGGAATCACACAATACTCTTGTGTGGATAACATAACTCCCAGCAGTCGGAGGTGTGAGATCGGGACAGGTGGGCAGTCCATGTGAGGGTTCTCGCCAGTACCGCAGCTTGTCAAGCAAGGCCAGCATGTGTGTTCAGCCCCGATTTTTCTTTTTCATGAACAGTATTGTAACGGGGTGGACTGGGGTTTTATACAGAGGGCGGTAAGCAGAGATTTTGCAGAGGAGGAAGGGGGTGACAAGGGATTTGAAGAGGGGGCAGGGGTTTTGTAGAAAGGGGTGACCTGGATTTTGTAGAAGGGGGTGACGGAATTTATGGGAAGGGGTGAAAGGATTTTTATTTTTTTAGAAGGGGCGATGGATTTTGTAGAAGGGGGTGATATGGGTTTTGTGGAAGGGGTGACGGGATGTGTAGAGCGGCAAGAGGAGTTTTGTAAAGGGGTGATGGGATTTGAAGAGGGGGCAGGGCTTTTGTGGAAAGGGGTGACATGGATTTTGTAGAAGGGAGTGACAGGGGTTTTGTAGAGGGGGCAGGGGTTTTCTAGAGGGGTGATAGGTTTTGAAGAGATGGCAGGGGTTGAAAGGGGTGACATGGATTTTGTAGAAGGGAGTGACAGGGTTTTTATTTTTTTTAGAAGGCGTGATGGATTTTGAAGAAGGGGCAGGGATTTTGTGGAAAGGGTTGACATGGATTTTGTAGAAGGGGGTGATATGGGTTTTGTGAAAGGGGTGACAGGGGATGTGTAGAGTGGCAAGAGGAGTTTTGTAAAAGGGTGATGGGATTTGAAGCGGGGGCAGGGCTTTTGTGGAAAGGGGTGACGGGTTTTGTAGAGGGGGCAGGTGTTTTCTAGAGGGGTGATAGGTTTTGAAGAGAGGGCAGGGGTAGAAAGGGGTGACAGGAGTTTTGTATAGGAGTGACAGGTTTTGTAGAGGGGTGACGGGAGTTTTGTAAAAGGGGGGGCAGGAGTTTTTATTTATTTTTATTATATTACTTTGATGCGATGATATATGCAGTAGTCACATTAATGATTTTGATTTATTTTATTTTGTAAGAAAACATGTTTTTTAGGTAGATCTCATTGAGCTGGTCATTTAAAAAGTAGATCATGACACCAAAAAGTGAGGGCACCCCTGGAGTAACCCATTAAGCATGTTTAACAAAGTCATGCAATTATTTTAAATGACCACAAGATGGCATTATGAATATATTTATACTTGGGTCAATTTAATCTGCAATTCTGGGATCCTGCTAATTATTTTCTATCTTTCTTAAGTCACAATATATTCTTCAGAACCATAACATGGGTAAATGAAACATCCAAGTAATAAGTAATCCAAGTTAGGAAGCACAGGTGGTGGGAACCCAGCCTAAACTAACTTGCAATATAAGGTTATTAGCTGACACAATATGGTAACTGAACTCTCTGCTGTAAATCTGAGTAGATCAAATTGTAAGTAAATACAGGACTGGCCCTGTCCATAGGAGGAACTGGGGCAATGGCCCCAGGAAGCACTTTAACAGGGGCGGTATTTTGCCCCCCAGGCCGCATCTGCTGTATATGTATGCAGCAGAGGCAGCCTTCTAAACCTTGGGGCAGACTAATCAGTTGGGTCCCTGGTCAGTGTCTGAGGACCTGAAACGAGGAGGGGGCTTGGCGGATTGCCCTATATGCCGCACTATGGCAATTATAGTGTTTGTTTCTTTGAGTGGTCTGAGAGTGTAACTTTTTATTTAACCAAAATCATTATATATTAATCACGACAAGGACATTGTTTCAGAAGTCTTGTGGTTTGTTCAGATGCAACGTTGCAAACCTAAACTGCGACATTCTTTTTAGAGAGAAGAGGCATTCTTCTGGCAACCGTTCCAAACAAACCTTACTTGTTCAGTATTTTTCTAATTGTACTCTCATGAAATTTAACATAACTGAGGCCTGTAGAGTCTGAAATGTAACTCTTGGGGTTTTTGAAATTTCTCTGACACGATCTGAACTTGGGGTGAATTTGCTGTCATGTCCACTTCAGGACTTAGCACTAGCTTGAATGTTTTGAACTTTTGAATAATCTTTCTCAATATAGAATGATGGACTTTAACTTGGTTAATTAATCTATATACTTAAATCATCGTCACAAAATCTATATGTAGAAAGCATCAACATTGGCATCTGTGTAATGAGATGTATTCTCTCATCCTGCAATAAAACAAATCATTAAAGGTTTATAATATTTACAGAGTTATTCCATAAGTGTAAATTGTAAAGAATTCCATGTGAATTTCAGAATTTAGCCAAAATCCAAAGAACCACAGAATTACTCAGTAATGGTAACAGAAAAACTCTGGCATTCTGAAACTTCTTTCTACTTCTGAAATCATTTTAAAAATGGAAACTGTGTCGGCACACGGTATCTTATAAAATTAGAGAAAAATAACAGCTACCATTAAACCACTAGTATGTGTTTTCTGTCCTTACTCATTGTGCAGGAGACAGGAAGACTAAAAGGGTGGATACATTTGATGCCAAATTTAATGCTGCTTAGTTATAACCAGAACTGGTAGCTTGTAGAAAATCAATGCTAATAGTAGACCTGAAGTTTCATTTTGTGAGTAGCCGAATCTGGGATCTCTTTTGTAAAACCGCTATTTATCCAATTGACTTGTATTTGGTTTACAATTTGAGATATAGCAAATCTTTCAATACGTTCATAAAATATTCATAAAACAGCTCAGAATCTCACAGCCATTAAAGTTGAAATTTCGGTTATTGTTTTCTAAATTCCAATAGTAAAATGGATTTCATTTTTAATTTTGCATTGTAATCCAGCCTTTTCTGTCACAGTTAGAACGTAACGTATAAATTAACTTAAACCCCGCAGCACCACACGTGTGGGTACATGCACAAGAAGGGAAGAGTGTTTTTACTTTTCTCACTACGCCATTTACTCTAGTGTGCACTTCTAGAGCATTTATCGGGGATGAAGAACTGAAGAACTGTCACTTCTAGAGCAATACAAAGCACATGAGTGGATGAACACTTAGAATGACAAGCATTTCCAAAGAGATACACATTGCGAATAGGCTATAGCAAATAATTCAACTTAATGTGCAAGATGAGCTCCGTTTTCTTAATCACTTTAATTCAATTAGGATGTTTAATATTTATAATTACCACAGTAATAAATGATTAACACAGTCACCTCATGCTGCAGCTCTGTAAAACGCGATAAAATGGATGAAACTATATCTGCCCAGTACTAAACCAATAGGAGTGGGATATATATATATATTTTATCAGGTGCAAACTTATATTAATTAAAATCTGCATATTTAATGGTAGTTGAAAGAATGCTCTGTTGTCAAGCTAACTGTAAAATAATAAATGATGGAATTAACTTGCTCTTTTGTCTATAAGTGTAATTCCTTTCAACAAGCTTCACCCCTTCAAACATGCTTTGTGATTCTGTTAGCTTTTCTAGTAAAAAGGGTTTGTAAGAAAACAGCTAAGAATACACAGGTGTGGTTATTTACTGAACTGTGCATTGTGGGAAATTCAGCAGGGAACTGCACATGTAAGAGTCACATCTTTACACCCTGGTTCTACTTTTAGCTCAAGAATAGCTTAGAACTGCAGCTGTAAGCCCGCCCCCAAGGAGCATGGGAATGCGAGGTCCGGGATAATTGGGCTCATTTTATTAAACTCATTCTGTGCTCTCTCATCTTTTTCCATTTTGGCAAACAATTTATTTGCAACTTTCTGGTGACTCCTGACAATTCACCTTTAGTGGATGAGAGAACATCAAATTAGAGTGCTATTAGGACACTGTTTAAGGGAATATGAGCCAAAGGCTAATTTGGGTTACCATTAAGAGGAAAACACCTATGTAATGATAGCTTGGTCAAATAAATTTTTGATGAGTTAAAAATGCTGAATGTCTGTTTCCTCAAGCTGCCAATGATAATATAGGTACAAAAAACAAGGTGCAAGAGAGTACCGATCATTTGGGGTTGCTTCATCTCTTGTGTTGAACGGTATTATGTAGGATGGTATTTTCGTTCCTTTTTGGTGCTATCAGTCTGATATGCAAATGATACTGGTTCTCTTTGTAATGGCACAAGATGATCTAAAAATCAGTTTAAGATGTGAGGGAGGACCCACTGAAGGGCAGGCTCCTAGATCCATTGTCCTTTATCTGTTTGATGAGAGGAAGGGGGATGATGGCGATGATGTGAAGGGGGGTGATGGTGACAGGGAGGGGGTTGATGGTGTGAGTAAGGGTGTTGATGGTGATGGTGTGAAAGGGGGAGGTGTTGGTGTTAGTGAGGGGGTGATGGTGTGAGCGAGGGGGT